TGGACACTAACCTCATCGCCTTCTCATAATGCTATTTCAATGCACCTTTCGGGGTGCCTATCAGGCGATCATGCCCCTATTTTTTGCAAAGTTCCCCCTGTAATCCGTCCTCGATTGTTTGTCAGTGGCCTCCAGTGACATAGAAACTGGTTTGATATACTAATCCTGAATTGGGAGTATAGACTCATAGAAGCAGCATACTGAGAAGTAAATATCCAATTGACAGCAAAGTAGTAGCCATTGTATATTGACACATCTCAGAACGACTAACTAACCCTACCTCAACCTATCTACATCTTCTTTCCTCCCTCCATCCCTCTATCTTAATCTAACGTACCCCAAGAATCCGAACTACGCGTCATATCAATGCACCACCGGCAATCCATTGTTATAAACAAACAACCCCTTGGGATCCCACTTCTTCTTCAACTCCAACAATCGTGGCAGCTTCTCAGTCCCATACCACGCATCCAAGCCCTCCGTGCCATGGGCATAGCTCACATACACCTGGAGCTGATCGAATCCGCTGGTCGCATTGAATCTTGAGATCCAACGACTGGCCAGGTCATTCACCGGCTGTGACAAGGAGGCGTCATCGTAAGCGAATGTGAGCATCCTAAATATCCTCTCATGTTAGTTTACCCCTGCCAACTGAACGAATGGAAGCAATGATGTAAGCCACTCACACATGCGCTGTGATATCCCGATAAGGATACGCTGTTTCTTCATCCTTCACGGCACGCACTGCTTGTGTGGAGAAGAATTCGATTTCGTAGCTGGATCCCGTTGCTTCCGGGTATGCGTAGTAGAAGTCAACCATGGTGTTGAAAAAAGCAATGTGAGTGGGTACATCAATTCGCGCGACTCCCAGCGCCCAGAGATTGTGCATGTCGCCGTCGATGCAGAAGTCCGCGTCCATACCGAAGAGCGCCGAGGTATCGAGTACGTTCCATGTCAGCTGAGTGATGTTGCGCTTGTGGTAGGGAAGGTCGAGGAATGGTTGGAGATGAGCGAGACCTTCGGATTTAGGGCCGGCATAGGCTGCATTGAGGATAATAGAGGGCTAGATTCAGGCAGTTAGTCATGTGTCTAAGTCAATGTGAGTAATCTGATAAATGGAGCACAAACACCGTAGGTAGTATCATTGATAACCAAAGTGAACAGAGAGAGCGGCTGAGGGAGAGTGCCATTGAATGAAGCAAGGATTTCAAAGAACGAGCCATTAGCACTGGCCGGAAATAGGAAGTCGGCATTCAAGACGGAGCCATTGTTGGTCAGGTCGTAGATGGTGTATGTCGCCTCGGTAACAATCCCGAAATTGAAGCCCGCACCGCGCATGCCCCAGAAGAGTTCGGGCTCCTTGGTCTTGGACACGGTGATGAGACTGCCATTGCTGGTTACCAGTTGCACGGACTCGAGCGCGTCGATAATCAGGCCGTGGATGCCTTGGTAGCGACCCACACCGGCGCCCAGTGTGGCTCCTACCATTCCCACACAGGATCCCGATCCAGTCTCTGATTTTTCTCTAGTTAATGACCGTCTTGAATTCCTTGAGACGCTGATGAACTTACGGATCTCCTTTCCGGCGCTGTAGAGCGGCTCGAAAATATCACGAAACCGCACACCACCTCCTATAGTCATTAGATTGGCGTCCGCGTCCACGGCTACCTGATTGAAGCCGCTAAGGTCAATCTCGAGGCCATATTGTAGCTCAGCAAACGTTGTCGTGTAGCCGTGTCCTCCACCCATGGCGAGGAAAGGGATATTGTGCGTCGAGGCATATTTGACCTTCCTACCATCAGTACTGGAGAATGGAAAGAGAACAGAAAGATTTGAGTTTCAACTTACAATCCTTTGCACATCAAGAGTCGTGTTCGGCTTGATGGAGGCGAAAAAAGTCGGTTCCTCATATGTTGTCCACCGCTGGGTAGTGTCGGTCCAGTTTGTCGCGTAAGGATAAAACACCTCAGCTGCTGGGGAGAGCTGTGATAGCAGCACGGTAATATTTGAGGCTGTCGCAATCTGCGCGAGCCCGATCAGGGCCGTAGCGTAATGCTTCAAGGAGACCATGGCCTGTGTGTTTGCAGTAGAGGCAGAATAATATGTTAAGGCAGTTAGTGTCCCAAAAACACTTGGAGTGGTAATGAGGGTGCATTCTGATGAATGCTGGCTGCTGTCTTTTATATTTTGAGAGTCAACGCAGTGCGTAAACGTAAGATGATGGCTTGAACCCACGATAGATCTGACATCGTATCGGACATCTCTCAACTCAGGTAGCCTCGCAAAAACAATAATATCCGCTGACGAGCAGCCGGGAGGCGAAGGATTCAACTACTATCCTGAAATCTAGATATGGGAATATTAGTGGACTCGCTAACGATGGTGCCTATTGGCAGGTCGTCTGTTCCTTAGGATGGCTTCCTCCATCCGCCGTGGGTGATGATAAGCTTTGGAAAGGATTCTAAGCATTTCTGGCCGATACTTAGTTCCTTGGTGAAAGCGTCCACTGCGCCGTGTCGTCTAGAATCTGCAGAGGTTCGTCAGTCCGTTACGATATCTTGAGAGTTGCGGCTAACTTTAGTGAAAAGCATCCAGCGCTTTTCTGGAATCAACAGGGGTATTCAAAAAGAGATCTGAAACACGTGGTATTCAGTTTTAATCATCGTTTGGACCTTGGGTACGCCTCAGTCAACCCTTCAGTTGGGTGGAAGCAGTCCCACCTTCGACCTCTGCCAAAATCTCATGTCAGATTACAGCCCCTCTATCAGCAGGGTTGTGGATCCTAGATCACCCAGCTACTAATGCTGACGACGATGATTCTCGGACTGACCCAGATTGGTAGCGCCGAGAGCGTTCGGGCGCATTTCTGGTCTCATTGACCTCGTTGGGTGTTCCTTTTCCATTCCTGGCCAGTTTGATGTATTTTTAACGGGAATTGTGATAGAACCATTTTGCGTCCATCCCCACTTACTCCTTCAATAAATCTTTGTACTAAATTCCAGCGTCTCATTCTTATTCGTAAGAGAGATTTACTATCGATAAACCCACGTGCCGTGTACACATATTTGTCAGATAAGTTCTATAGATTCGAAACGTGAGGAACTACTCTAATATGGACCAAGTATGTACCCGACAGTGTTTGGAGGGCGGATCCTAATAACAATACAATTGGCATATAGACAGGCTCTTTGAATTTACCAAATTAGTGTTCCAGAAAGAAGCTGGAGCTTGCCGTCTCATGTCAGGTTCCATACACATTCAAACCAAACGCTCAGGATTGACCCTCATATTACGATTCCGGTCGCCAATACCACAATCCTGGAGAAGGCAACGGCTATCGCAATGCCCGGAGCGTATTGCTACACCTCTGAATGTGCTCCACAACATCCCAAAAGCAGTGGTGCGTAAGCGAGGAGCATTCCTGAAGGATGGCCATGTTTTTCGCGGCAGCTCATGGGTGCTTTGTGGCAGCGCTGATTGCTCACACGGCACGGGAAGACCTCCAGTCCAGGGGTGCAATCCTTCAATCATTCCTTTTACGGAATTCCTGGTATACATGTGGAATACTCGAGGCCTGTCCGGGGCTGGGAGATGGGTGTCTTGCGGTAAAGACTGCAAGACAGGAATCGCTGACGAGCCTTTTCTAAAGCAACCCTCATAGAAGAACCGGTCCCGTGCTCGGGATTATGTAAGGTGAATATTTCTCTTTCTTTTTCTGCATTTCCCTTTCTCTGGCTGTCAACGGTCACGGTCCCGGGCTTTGCGAGGTATTCGGCGAGAATTTGGTGGCTTAGTCTCGGGCAACGGATCATTTCGCTTATTGCTTGCCAACCAGCCAGCTACATGCATCACAACCATCTCCCGCCGTAGCTGCTGTCTCTACAGGCCCCGTCCGGGGTTGTAAGACATACCCCATCCAGGGTCCTCACTCTGGGGCGCAGTGAATACGATGTGGCATTGCCCATGATCCTTCTTCCCGAATTTGGACAATCTCGATGTTATGTTGCCACGGACCACGCGTTGGAGCGATCTGCCGGTGGAGCAGTGGATCACCCCGCGCGCTAATCCAGATCGCTTCACCACCGAGCTGGCGGATATCTTCACAAGGACGCCGTACATTGCGACCGGGATGGTGCAGTGGCATTTGGTATTGGCAGGCGAATAATGGGGCGTCTCCGGTACTGGTCCTCACTGATCAGAGGTATCAGGGAGGGTCACAGCCTGATATCTGATTGTCATCCTGCATTTAACCATCCATCACCAAGCCCTTATCATCGGGTGGTCCTTGTCAGCTCGGGCAGTGGGCCTGTGCAGTACGGATCATCTGTCAAATAGTAGATGTTTGGTTTCGAATGGCCGGTAGGATGGCGATTTGGGTAGCCAGAGGCCTCCCAAATTTCTGAGCTGTGGATCTGACACAAGAAAGACCCAACTACCAAGATGTGAGCACCTCGCTAGCAACCCCCGAAAGGGAAGCTGGAGGATGACGCTCACAGGGGCGGGAAAGACAGCGGATGTACTTTTTATCTTCAGATAAATAAGCACTAAAGAATCATTGGCAGGGGAGCGGGCTATGCGTGTGTGCAAGACGAGGCTCTGACAAGCACTTATGCAAAGATTCATGCAACACAATTTAGTCAGATAACCATTCCCAAGGTAATTGGACTCTGACCATCCAGCAATTACTCTTTTCAGTTATTAAAGCATTCCATAAATGGTTCTAGCTCTTGTCCGTGCTGAGTGTGTATTCGAGTGGATGGAGTCTTTGGATCCTCGTCCCCCGCTTTCCTTTCCCTCCGTCTAATCTGTTGCCGTTCGTGGTAGTGATCGGCCCTGAGTATACATGGGGTCCGAGGCTATTATGCATGGAAGCAAACTGCACGGATACATTTTCCCGTCATGACATGATTATATCCTGGGTAAACTAATAGATTGAGGGGTATCGCCCACAGCCCTTCATCGTCTTGCACTTCTCCCACAATATCTCTCCAACTATCTCAATGTTCGGGACGCTATCACAGGACCATTCTACCCAGGCTTCCTACATTGTCCAGGTCACCGATCCTCCATTTCAGACAGACCGCAATGCAAGAACCCCTCACTTGGCCTGCATGGCCTGTCGAACCAAAAAGGTGAGCCCTCAGCCTACGCCACTGCAGCGTCCTCGGTTAACAGAAGCCCTCCAGCTCAAGTGCTCGGGGGAAAAGACGGGCTGTCAACGGTGTCAGATGAAGAATCTGTCCTGTGTCTTCCCAGATCAATCTGCCTCTCGCTCGGCCAGGAAGCAACGCAGCAAGCGTTCCGAGTCCGCTGTGTCAGATACCTCCCATCATCCGACGAACAGCAGCGCCAGCGGCAGACAAGGGTCCCCAGAACCACGTAACCAGGAGGTACAAGCGCCCAGTCACATACATGTGGGCGAAGAAGAGATGGACGGGGATGTATTTCTTGACCTACCCGATTTCTACGATACGGGCTTGTCCTCTACTCCAGACGCAGAGGATATATCCCAGTTAGAGGCTCCCCTGGATCTGAGCACTGCTCTACCAACCGGCTCTCTATCGACCAGCCTGGAAGGCCCTCTCAGCCACGGGTCTCTACTAGCCATCAATCAAGGCAAGTAATTGAACTTAGCCCCGTCACCTTCTCTCTGCCATCCATCCATACTGACTGAAAGGTGGAGACCGGCACAAGCCCAATTTCCCCGGACTGCCAGCCTGCATTGACCTCGACAGCAATATCCTTCCTGCATTCTCAATTCCTGGAATAGAACGCGCCTCCACTTCCCCTTCCAACCAATGTCACTGCCCCAGCCAAGCCCTCGCTCTGTATGAGCGCACTCAAATTCTTTACAACCGACTTGACGCAACACCTCGCTCGACGATAAATAGCCATGACACCCGGGATACACTCCATCGAAGCAAGGAGATAATCTATCAATGTGAAAATCTAACAGAATGCGCCCTGTGCCGGACACAGTCTCACATCGCTATGATTCTCCTCTCCGTCAGCCACCAGTTGATCATCTGTCTTAAGCGCCAGTGCGCCACCACAAACCATCACCGGCTGAAGGACTGGCATCCTAATGACGCTTACACGGACCAAAGAACGGGTTTCTCTCACCGTAGTAGCCTGGAGCCCGTGACACATAGGGCACCAATGACCTTCCATCACAGTTTGGGATCAGATGACTTGGAAGACGAGATCCAGGTGCTCAAGACATTACTAACGTTAAGAATGCAAGCTACTGCTAAGCTTCTGGCAAAATTACAAAACATCATTGACGTTGGGGGGTGGCGCGAGCATCGCGAGTTGCTGGACAGGGTGTCGGCGCTGCATCAGGCCGCCGCAGCCAGTATTCATCGAATGGGGGGAAGGGAGAGATGAGGCACCTGCGTATCTAAAGAAGTGGATGTTCCCGAGAGCTTACACCTCACCCTGCTTGCCACCTCAAGCACAAGCTACAAGAGTCACCTCATACTTTACAATAAACCTTTATAAATGTTCACCCTTTACTAAGGATCGTCCACAAGTACTGTAGTAAACATCATCAAATCAGAGCCCTAAAAACAAATATACGTCGACTTCGCGTTGCAATACTGCAACAACCCAGCCTGCCCAAACTCCACCCCAATTCCGCTCTCCTTATGTCCTCCAAACAAACCCTGAAAGCTCGGCTTCTGCGTACTGTTAATGTAGACACTACCCACATCCAACTGGGCGGCGATTCGCCGAGCCCTCGCCATATCACTGGACCAGACACTCGCGCTCAGTCCAGTAGGGGTATCATTGGCCGAGTGGATGACATCTGATTCTGAGCTCCATCGCAGAAGGGGGAGGATGGGGCCCTGTTCCATCGTTAGACATTTAATAATTCGGGAGAGAGGAGAGGGGACACTGACAAACTGCTCCTCACGGACAAGTCTCGACTCCCTCGGGGGATTATCCACCACCATCAAGGGAAGAAAATAACCCCCCTCCTTTTTGCCTTCATCTACTCCCTCAAGGCCATGATTCTCCCCACCCGTCAAAACATCATACCCCAATTCCTTCACCTCATCAACCAACCCCTTAACCTTCTCAAACTGCATCCGATTCTGCACCGGTCCAACCATGACCCCTTCCTCAGCCGCACCATCACCAACCTTCGTCTCTCCGACCTTCTTAACAATCGCATCTCTCACCACTCTATAAACATCCTCATGAATATAAACCCTCTTCGTAGCCACACACACCTGCCCCGTATTCAAAAACGCACTGAGCACTATCTCCCCCGCTACATGCTCAATATCCTTCACATCAGGACACACAATACACGCATCATTCCCACCTAATTCCAACGTCACGCGCTTCAACGTCCCCGCACACGCAGCCATCACTTTCTTCCCCGTGCTCACAGACCCCGTTAGCGAGATTTTCCCAATCCCCGGGTGCTGCGTCATTAAGCTTCCTAGATTGTGCGACTCGTCGTCACTGCTGCCAAGACATTGGATAACTCCCGGTGGGAAGAGCTGTTGGGCGATTTCACATATCTTGGGAAGCGTGTAGGGTGTGAATGGGGAGGGTTTGAGAATTATGCTGTTTCCGGCTTGGATGGCGGGTCCGAGTTTGTTCATGGGCATGGCGATGGGGACTATCATAATTAGCATATCATATCAGTGGAATATTAAGTGGAGGGGAGGGGGCAAAAGGGGAAAATATACAATTCCAAGGACAAATAGCCCCCACCACACCGATCGGCTCAAAGGTCGTATGTACTACCTTTGAGATATTTTCATCTAGCACGGTATGTTCAACGGGCTGAAGTGAAGAGAAATGCAGCAGAGTGTCTTGAGCTATCTGGATTTCTGCTTGCGCTAAGAACGTCTTCATGTGTGTTAGAACATGTTTGATATGGGTTCGGTATCATGCATACCGGCTTTCCTGTCTCAGCGATCAACAATTCCGTTAATGACGGCGCATTTTCCGCAATCAGGGCAGATAGCTTTGTTAGGAGCTCGCTCCGGTGTTTCCAGGTGGTGCTTTTCCAGGTGAGGAAGGCGTCATTGGCTGCGATGACGGCTTCGTCGAGATCCGCTGAGCTGGCTACTGGGGCTTCATGAAGGGTGGTGCCTGTTGCTGGGTTGGTTGAGGTGTAGGTGGTGTTTGAGGTACGGAGGGTTCCGTTGATGGTGTTGTAGAAAGTTGTGAAGGTAGTTGAGTGAGACGAAGACATCTTGTTTGGTGTAGCAATATTAAGAAACCAAAGGGTACTTTATATTTCTGAGTTGTTGAAGGATATTACTATGCAGTGCTGCCGTCTATTGGTATATATATATTGTTGTTTCTATGGGGCTGTACCCCGAGATCATCCCTCGGAGAGCCTGAAAGGGAAATGAGCGAATGGACATCCGCTAATTAAATCGCCCGAGGCCACGAACAGAAGTCCCGGACAGTCGAATCGAAGCGGAAGCGGGCACCCTCCCTCTCTTCCGCTAATCTATGGAAAAATGTCCAGCTTCGCACACATTCGTGTAACTCTGATCACGGCATACTACGCTATCATCAAGTTTGTCTCGGCACGAATCGGACATTAATGTCCGGCTTCTGCCAGAGAATATAGTTCAATGACTCCCGTTCGAGATCAACATCTTTATTGATCAGCTCGCAGTCGAACATGAAGTGAACTTTGGCTAGTACCAGCCGCAGTTCAATGAACGCCAGGCTATCCACTTGTCAGCACAGGTGAGAATGCCATAACATTAGGAGAGCACTCACTTCCGTCCCAAGCAAACTCGCGGGCCCAGCAAGAATGGGAAGAAGGCTGACTTATCGTCCATGTTAGGATCTAACCATCTTTCGGGATCGAATTTCGTAGGGTCACTGAAATATCGGGCGTCGCGGTTAGTGGTCCATGCGTGAACCGAGACCTCTGTCTGTTAAATGAATGTCAGAAATGCTTGATTTGCTGATCCACGCTAGCACTGACCTTCTTAGGGACATAGTGGCCATCCACATAGGCCCCGGGAGAGATCCGCGGTGGTCCAAAAGGCACCGGGGGGTAGAGTCTCATTGTTTCGTTGAGGACGGCGTGAAAGTAGGGCAGCTGGCCGACAGAACTGGAAGTGATCTCACTATAATCTTTGAACCGCGAGCGAATTTCGTCCCGCATTTTGGCGTAGACCTCGGGATGCTTAAGGATAAAATACGTAGCTGCCGAAAGAGTCGTCGCGGTAGTTTCACTTCCAGCAATACTAATTCCGTCAGTTCCATGCGCTGTAGCCGAAGAAATAGTCAACACTCACACCAGATTCTGCCCTTGTGCTGCGACCTCTTCAGTCGATATTACTCCCTGACCAGCATTCTCCAGCATAGCAGAAAGAAAGTCAGTTCGCGAATCATCTTTGGGACGCGCCAGACGTCTGCCCGTGCATGTGTGCGCTAATTAGCAATGGTCTCTCACAAACACAGTAAACACACACAATGAAGGCCTACCTTGCAGCCATTTCTCTTGTAACCTGAGTATGCCGGTTCATGTCCTTGATCTTCTCGAACGGCAGAAGTTCGAAGACCTTCTTAAACCCCAACACCATGCCAAACCGTCTCAAGACATCAATGATCGCCCCCGCCTGCATATTCCCCAGTATAACACTGATCCAGAACGCCGAAGTCCCCTTCTCCGTAGCCCCAAAGGACTCTCCAAAGACCAGCTCTCCGATGATATCAAACGTGAGGTAATTGAACCAATCCACGACGTTCATGCCCTGCGGACTGCTTCCGAACTTTTGAATCTGGTTGATCAGCAGATCCACATATCGCTGCTCAAGCTCCTCGTGCGCGATCAAGGCCTTAGCTGAGAACCCGAACGCCCAGAGTCTGCGCATCCGCGCGTGTTCGTTGATGTCCGATTCGCCAATGATATCGGACGCTTCGAAATTGGCCACTTTGTAGAAAGTAGATTTGATGAATGTGCCGCTGCCAGTGGTGTTATAGATGTCTTTCCAGGCTGATGCCGTGGCGAAAGACAGTTCGTTAGGAGCGATTCGGACTACGTCCCCTGTTCATTATTCCGCAATTAGCATCGGGTCTCCATACCTTATCGGAATGTCGGCAGTGACATGAAGTAAAAACAAACATACCATACTGACGATGCAGTTCCTCTAATTGGAGATGTATTTTCCCACTCATTGACATGCGACAGTAGAATACCTTTTTCCACATCAGAATTTGCATCACTCAAGCGCAGAGCATGTACAACCCACCTGGCTTATTGCCGCCCATTTTGGTCCGGGAAACTTTGCCAATGGGTGCAACGTGAGAGAATACACAACCCAAAGACAGGGGAGGGCAATACCCTGATCGAGTTAGCCGTCAGATCATGACATTAGGCAATGCACCTACCAATAATGTTAGGAAAATAGCCCAATCTTTGAACGATCCCGGTAGGAGCGAGGCCAGGCCGGCTATGGTGCTGGCGACGTGTCCGTCTTCCATGCTGATCATCATTGCTACTACAATGTTAAGTGAGGGTTATTTGCCTATCCTGTCTTCTATCCTTGTCATATTATTGCTTTGGTCTAGAGGCTTTATCCCATTCCTCGGTAGCTCTCGCTCGGGCCATCCGAAATGGGGGAAACCGATGGGCGGATAAGCTGCAGCTGGGCTGTACGTCGATCGCGGGCTACTCGTCATCAGCCATTAATAGATGGATTAAGAGCCCCAGGATCCAAAGGTCCGGTTGTCCGAATCCGTCGGAGAATCACTCCCAACGTCAGCTCCAATTGTCCAGACCGGATAATCAGACCAGGACTTATCAGTATATCCACCGTAGTAGCTCCCTGATCGACCGGCTAATCTGACTCATCGACCCGTTTATTATCCGAACAGGACAATAAGGGTTATCGATGATAAAAGCTTCTGGAAATCCTTTGGCCAGGATTGAATCCTTTTGCGTTTGATGGATTCCGGGCGTTTCCACCATGACAATCCCCCCTTGCGCACCACTGCCTCTTCCTCTGCTTATTCTCCCCGGATGTTTCTTTCTTTGGCTCGGCCCGTTCGCTCTGGCTTACCACAAACAGATGGCAGGGTTAAAGATCCTTGCGCCTTCAGTCTGCTCCTCTCCTCTTTCAGGTAATTGCTTCACTCAATTTGTGGACCGGCCATTCGCCGCCACGGCGCTTAGAACGTGGACACATCGCATTAGCGCTGAGGTGAGAGCGAGGCGAGGTCCTCAGCGTGGCTTGTTGCGACACCGGAGACACCTGTTCCTTCGTGCGGAGAAGATTGTGTTGGATTGCTGCTAAAGGATGCTTATGTACGGCATGCTGGAACTTGACGTTGGTGGGTGGTGAGAGGCCTCCCAAGTCCAGTATTCTGTACATTTCGCTGGCGATTTATATAGAGACGACAAAGAGAGTATCCGCACAGGTTCATTAGTTCGAATTTCAGGATGTTCGGGACATTAGTATCGACTCAATCGGAATCGGAGCCATTTATCTCCCATGTGATTAGACCACCGTTTGAGAGCGATCGCGAGTTGAAGCACTTGGCATGTTTGGCGTGTCGCACAAAGAAGGTATGACACTCCAGCAGCCAAGATACCATTAGAATAATGAGCAAACGATGTCACCATGCCCTATGAGTAAATAATTGACCTCCCAGTGTAGCTGAAATGCACCGGAGAGCGAACGGGATGTCAGCGGTGTCTCGATCGAGGACTTCCTTGCGAGTACCAAGAAGCTAACCCTCATCGAGGTCGACGTCCTCGAGGGGCCAGCTTGAATAACAACAAGAACAACGGAGAGGTCGAAGATTCGACAGATCACTCCTCCGCTTCTGCTGCACCGAAGAATTCGGACGGTTCGAGAAGAGCAAGTCATACATCGGAAGCAGCGCAAGCCCGCATTAGGTACAGAGAAGAGAAAGAGCAAGGTGGAAGAAGGAGTGAGGGGCCCGGTAGTTTGAATGGAGGCACTCCTCATGCCACATCGGACCTGGGCGAAGACGGATTGGACCCCGAGATCTTGACCAGCATGCACGAGCCAGCAACAGAGTTAGGGGCCGAAGTGCAGCTTTCAGACATACCCATGACACCCGATGATGATTTATCCAGCCTGCTACCTGACTTCGGCCATACAGACTTTGCCAGCAACGACGTCAACCAGGACTTGCTCTTCCTTTCACAGCTGGCCGCTTCCAGTACGGCGGAGCTCGTGAACCCGTCGTATCCTCCCAACCCTAGTCCCGCCATGCCACGTCTCTCTTCTTCAACATCCCGTCTAGGGATACCGGGGATATCCCAATTAGCCAGTAGCCCGAGCATCGCAAATCTGCACATGCCCTCGTGCACATGTCTCCAGTCTACTCTGACCCTCTACGAAAGTATCCGCGCCGTGCAGTGGCGTGCCCAATGTGGTGCCAGCGCGGGCCTTTCGCGCGAAATGGCTCATCTGATCCTTAAAGCCTGCAAGTTGGCCCTAAATCAGTGCCATCGGCTCATCGGATGCTCCTCGTGCAAGCGTGAGCCACTGTTCGTGATGTTGCTCTGTTCTGTCTGCGACCAGTGTCTGACCTGTTTTGAGACCTTTCACGACTCGCACCAGAGGCGATTGCGAAGTAGGAGTATGACCTCCTCGTCGACCGGAAGCAGTTTCGTCAATGCATCCGAGGCGCGCTCGGAAATGGATCAGCTTGGGGAGATTGTGCAACTGGCCAATTTGCCGTTTGGCGATGTGCCAGTATTGTTGGATGATGAGGATGATATCAACATGACTTGTAGCTTGTTGACCACGCGGGTGGCCTCGATGGTGAGCCTGCTGCGGTTATTGGGGCCAATAATTGATGGTTGTGGGTGGAGGACCCATCATGATACTTTCTCGGTGTTGCAGAAGCGCTGTCAAGGACTGGCGTATACATTGCAGACCAAGTCTAAAGCCCGGTAGTGAGCGTAATGCTAATGTGTCATGATCGGTGGCTGTAGTATTAGATATATATTGTTATCTTGCAAGATGGCATAAGAGCATTAGTCGAATACGTTACTAGAATGCAGTATTACAATACTACTACTTGTTTTCATTCTCCGGAAGGCAAGAGCAACCATTGCAGGTCTAGGTAGTCTTTCCTGTTTGTCTAGTCAAATCCTAATATTCTATCATATCAAATGTATAGTATGGTCCAAGCCTATGCGTCAGTCTCTACATCCACCAACACCATCTCACTCAAACTGTCCAACGTCACCGTCTTACTCAACAGCTCCAGGAAGGGAATGTCCGTCTTGAACGCCTGGAAGAACCACGACCGGAACTCCGCAGCGATCATACTATCCATTCCATACGCCGCCAACGGCTTGCCCGCATCCAACTTCGCCAGCGGCATCAGGACAAGATTACTGAACCTGCGCGCGACATGGTCCTCTATGGCTGCACGCAGACTCGCCCCTTCCTCCACCGCGGCCGCGACCTCCATCGGCAACTTGCCCGCCTGATTCTTGAGCGCCATATCGCCCTCACCATCCAGCGCCCGACTGAGGAGAATTGCCCGGGGGTCATTCAACGTCGGATTCGTCCCTTCGAATCCCTTCTTGCGTAGCTCCTTCAACCCAAACGGCTCCAACCCAGTCAGGATATGAGCGTGCGCCCGCTCATCATAGGAATGGGGCACGATCTGCGTCTCCGACAGGGCAATATCAATCACCTGGATCATCTCATCCTCATTGATCGCCTGGATTCCTTTCCGAAGCAACAGTGCCTCAATCTCTGGGTTTTCATGCAAGTAGCCCACCTCGGAGATCATACCTAGTCCCAGAGCTACCGCCGGTTTGCCCAGCGCGCGGCGATACCGGGCGAACATGTCCAGAAAGTGGTTGCCCGCGCAGTAGTTGGATTCCGTGGCCGTGCCAACGCTGCCGGAAATGGAGCTGGTCATGAGGAAGAACTCCAACGCCGCGTCGTGGCCCTCTAGCGCACGGTGAAGGTTGAGGGTGCCCTGCACCTTAGGGTCGATTCCCGTGTGCCACGCTGCGTTTGACATGGTCGTGAAGAGCGCTTCATGGAGGCCCATCGCGGCCTGGACGACACCGCCAATGGGGCCCGGTGCGGCCGCAACGACTTGGTCAACGTCCGCGCGGGAGCACACGTCCCCGCGCACCACGACGCATACCGCGCCCTGTGTCTCCAGGTCGTGGATGAGGGCCTGCGCACTGGGCTTGTCGGTGCCAGACCGCCCCAGGAAGACAAAGCGTCGCGCTCCGCGCGTCATCATCCATTTGGTCATTGCCCGGCCCAGACCTCCCAGGCAGCCGATCATCACGTAGCTCTTGTTGGCGCTGAAGGTAGTGCGGTGCTTCTGCGGGCGCAGCGCAACCTGTGCCTGGGGGTTCTCCAGCGTGATGACGACTTTGCCCATGCGATTGCGCGAGGAGAAGTAGCGGAAGGCCTTGGTGGCATCGGCGACGTCGAAGGTAGTGATCGGGTTGGCGCGCCCGATCGTGCCGGCGCGGTAGCGCGAGAGGACATCTTCGAGAAGGGATGCCCAGCGCTTGTGGTAGGCGTCACTCGGGTTATAGAACATGTTACTGAGATCGAAAGCCGTGTAGGTCGTGTTGCGCAGGAAGCCGTCCATCTCCAGCTTTCCGCAGTCAATCAGGTCGCGCTTCCCGATCTCGATGAACCGCCCGAACGAAGCGCAGCATTTCCAGCTCGCGTGCAGGAGATCGCCAACGAGGCTGTTCAGGACAACGTCAACGCCGCGGTTCTGGGTGGCCCGCATGATGCCCTCATAGAAGGAAGTGTCGCGCGAGCTGAAGATGTGGTCTTCGGATAGGCCGAGGGTTTCCACGAGGTAGTTCTTCTTGTCTTCACTGGAAACGGTAGCGAAGATCTGGACCAGGATTGGTACTCAGCAGACTGTAATATGGAACCAAATTTAGGGTTTTAGGGGATCGGAGACTTACCTCAGCCTGAGCTTCCTGAGCGATTTGAATCGCCGCAATACCCACGCCTCCTGCGGCGGAGTGAATCAGGACGGTCTCGCCCGGTTGAATCCGAGCTCGGTCGTGCAAAGCGTATATGGCAGTCGCATATACTACTGGTAATGTGCACATGAACTCAAAAGACTCATTCTCCTCCAGTTTCTGACAACTCCACTCCGGCACGACCTCCGAGGTGCGGAAGTGATTAGGAGCCATCACGACGACACGATCGCCTACCGCTACGCGGGTCACCGCAGCCCCAACATTCTCAACAACACCGCAGAACTCCAAGGCGCAAGTGGCATCTTTGGTCTCTGTCTTGCCGCCGAGCACGTAAAAATCTTTAGCATTTACTCCCACGGTCCGTAGCCCGACCTGGACACTGTAGGGGTCTTCCAACGTAGCCGGCAAGGGGCGCATCTGATCGTAAAACAGGCTGTCAAAGTTGCCCGGTTCGAGTATCTGCAACTTCGCCGGCCGAGCCTGCTGCAGGGTGGTTTGCACCATCTCGTGGCCCTGGCGCTGCCGGAATGTGACGTTCAGATGGTCGTCGGGCAAGAATCGGCTGACGTGCACCAGTCCGTCGTTCTGAATATATTCGTAGTCTCTGGGAAACTCACTAGAGTGGAGGATAGACAGGATGTTCTTGGCTGTGACGGGGGTCTTTGATGTTGTATTGTCGACATCAAAGGTGTAGAATTTCAGCGAAGGATGTTCCATCATGACGGCCCGCGCCAGACCGGAGACCAGGGCAAACTCAGGCTGGGCCCCGTTCAGCGAGTCTCCTGCCGTCACCCACAGCAGCGTTTCCGCGTTGTCGGTCATTAGTTTGATCCTGCGCAGCTCGGATTCAGTGCTGGTCGAGAGGACCGGGTTTTCGGACTCAATAAGGCTGATGATTGTTGCTCCTGTGGGGATCATCCCGTCAACGAGATCATCGAGGTAGACATGCTCGCAACTCTCCGGGCCGTAGGTTTCGTGTAGTTCCGCGACGATGGACTCGCCTAATGCGGTGCTTGTGTTGCGATCAACAACATACACTGGAGATTGCTGAACAACTGATGTCGCCGGATCGGCGACTGGCTTAGCGAGGAACACACGACCTCCCCCGTATTCGAGAATGCATTCAATGGCCTGGAAGCCATTCTCCGCGGCATGCAGCCGTGCAGTAGAAGGTGACAAGCACAACAAACATCCGTCCTCGGCGACCAGGTCCTTGATGATCGAGAGCTTAGTGGCCAGATAGATATCCGTCTGTTCTCTAGCGGGCAAAATGATCAAGTCATATTTCGAACCTTCTATGGCCGCGTGGTGTTCCAATGCGCCGTCTAGACGCTTTCCGAGATCCAGTTTTGTACCGTGAAGGACACCGTCATCCTTAATCAATCCCGATGTGAATTCCAGAACTCGTGGGAAAGAATCTCCTCCGTGCAACAGATCGAGGGTGGCGTTAGTGATGAGGTGATTCTGATTGCCGAGTTCCAACACCCGCATGGACGGATTCTTGTGGGACAACAGGTCCAGCGTAGCTCCCATCTTGAGGAGGCCTTCGTCGCGAACCGGTGAAGTTGATTCATTGAAAAACTTGCTTAAATACTTCCGGAAATGATCTTCCGGCATCAACCCCAGTCCATACACATCCGGCTTCCACAACACGCGCAGCATCGGATGACGCTGTTCGCCTGCGTCGGCGCCCTGTCCTGTCTGATACGGCGAGAGCTTGACATTGGCGATCCTGGCTGCCACTTGCCCGTCACTGGTGCTCAGTTCGGCATCGATCTCAGAGGTGCCGAAGCCTACCACGCGCGCGACGGAATCAATCGCCCAGGATTTGGTGGCCGCGTCTGACGGCTCAGGGGCGTGAAGGTGGATGGAATCAAAGCTGACAGGCACCTTGGCCCGCAGTTCGCGGACGCGGCCTCCCGTCGTCGCCACGATGGCCGTCTGGAGCATGGCATCGATGGTGATTGGGTGGATGGGGTACTCAACGTCTAACCCTTCGGAGACGTAGTCTTGCAGGAGGGGGACTTGAGCCTTGCAGACAAGATCGGTCCGCATGCGCGAGACATCAAACCGCTGGATTGACTGAAATGCCGGTCCGAAGTTCAGCCCGACCTTGATGAGATTCTCGTACCACACCCTGGGCTGAGTGCTCTCCAACATAGCAGGGTTGATCTGAACGTTCTGTACGAGGGACGGGGCCTCGGGGTTGATGCGGACTCGACCCGTGGCCCGAGTTGTGGAATCACCCTGGTCGTACGAGACAATGGAGAAGTCGTACCAGTATTTCGAGTTGCTGGCCGACGTGATCGGGGTTGGCCGGATGGTTGTAAACAGCTCGACTTCGGTCGTGGGTGAGTCAGTGAGGGCCAGGGCAGCCAGGATATTCACATTCTGTAGCTCGTAGTTGGCAGGGTTAGAGGTGGCAAACCCCGCAATCTGTCGCATTCCCTCCACTGCCATGGAGACATATCCGGCTCCAGGGAAGACAATTGTGTTCTGCAGCTTGTGGCTGTCTAGCCAGGGGATATCGGCGACGCGGATGACATTGCGCCATTGCGCTTCCAGACCATTTCCGCCGGGAATCTGCGAGCCCAGAAGCTCATGTCTGGGATACTTGCGCGTGCGGAACTCGATGCTGGTGCGACATTCGTGCCACAGCGCGGCGTCATAAGTCCACGGGTATGGAGGTAGATCAGGCAAGACCGAGCAGTCCGACTGGAGGCCGTTGACTTTGCTCCAGCAGACGGATTCTCCGCGGAGGTACAACTGGCCGACCATTCTGAGGATGGTGGTGACTTCATTCTTGCCTCGCGAGAGAGCGGAGGCATACGGGAAGTGGTCATCGGACAAGGCAAGCTTCTTCTTGATCTGCTTGATGGGCATCTCCAGGGCCGAATGAGGGCCCAGTTCAATGAAGTGATACTTGTCAATCTCTGTCATCTTCTCTACACCATCGCTGAAGAGAACGGGGCTCTCTAAGTTGGATCGCCAGTATGCCGCGTTGGGTGTGCCCTCGCTCAACTGGCCTGTAACGGTTGAAACCCAGGTAACATTGCCTGCGTCAAGCTGTACTGACGGTTCCAACTTCTCCAATGCAGATTGTAGAAGGCCCTCATAGTTCTGGCCGATCCGCGCCATATGGTGGGAGTGATAAGCACGACCGCCTGTCTTCAGTGTTCGTGCAAATGTACCTCGGGCAGCGAGAGTCGCCACCAATTTTTCTACAGCGTCCCTGTCGCCAGAAACAGTCACACTCTCCGGCGAGTTCACACAGGCGACGTTGGCCTTGTCGCCTAATGACATCTCTTTGATGGCGGCATCAGCCTCAGATCTCGAAAGCCCGACAGCCGCCATGGCTCCATCTCCCGTATCAAGTGCAACCGCGTATCCGCGATAGTAGGCAGCCGTGATGGCTTCTCCCAGCGACAGGCGACCGGCCGCAAAAGCCGCCGCAATCTCACCGGATGAATGACCAACGACTGCCGCAGGCCGAATGCCCCAGGAGTCTAGGAGACACACCAAAGCGACTTGGACTGCGGTGCATGCCGGCTGCGACTGGCTCACGTGTTGGATATTGCTACTCTCCGCTGACGCTACTAGCGCCTCCTTCAGATGCCATTGGGGAGGATGGTCAAGGCTCTGGAGAATGCCGTCCATCTCGGAAATGGCGTTCGAAAACTCGGGATACTCTTCGATCAGGTGCTTTCCCATTTGCGGCCACTGTGCCCCTTGGCCGGTGAACACAAATGCGTACTGACCGTTAGCTGAAGAACTGGGACGGCCGGTGACGAGGTCCTCGCTGACAAGGCCATTTATGAGACTCGTATCGGAGACCAGGAATGCCCGATGGGGCAAATGCGACCGGCGCGAACCCAGGGTGTAGAGAAAATTGGTCAAGTCTGGATGCTGGGACAGCACATACTGGTGCAGCTGGTCAACCCGGGTGATCAAAGACGCCTCGGAACCTGCCGAGATGGGAATGAGGACTTTGGAACGTGCAATATCATTGAGACGATCCTGTTGCTGCATTGGGATGGCGTAGGGCCCGGCAGATTCAATGATAGCATGGGCGTTGGCACCGCCGTAGCCGAAGGAGTTCACGCCGGCTCGGCGTGTCGAAGAGGTCTCAGTCGAAGGCCAGGGAGTCATCTTCTTCACAATGTCGATATTCCACTCCTCACATTTGATCTTGGGGTTGATCTGGTTGACTCCGATAGACGCCGGGATGCTCTCATGTTCCAGGGCGAGCACCGTTTTGATGATGCCAGAGATACCACTTGCTGCTTCGCTGTGGCCAAGATTGGATTTAACAGACCCGATGAGCAATGGCTGACCAGTCCGGCTGTGGAAGATTTTCGATAATCCTTCGGCCTCGATGGGATCGCCTACGGGCGTTCCTGTACCGTGGCATTCGACGTACATTGTCTGGGAGAAATCGATGGCTGCCTTCTCGTACGCTTTGCGGATCACGGCTTCTTGACCCTCTGCAGAGGGCAGGGTGATTCCTGATGTCCGACCATTTCTATTCTCATGTTAGCTGGGTTCCGTTTATTGATAGATTGAAAGGTAGAACGTACGAATTGACAGCAGTTCCCCGGATAATGGCTCGGATGGGGTCATTATCCTTGATGGCATCGGAAAGACGTTTCAAGTAGATACACCCAATGCCCTCTGCTCTCCCATATCCGTCTGCCTCGTCGGAGAAGGTGTGACACGTCGAAGTGCCTGACAGCACGCCGGCCTTCATTGTCCCGAGATGTTGTTCAGGCGACTGAATCAGATTCGCACCCGCCACAACGGCACTGTCGCACTCGCCATTCTCCAGGGCGGCGCAGGCTACATGCAGGCAGTACAGAGACGATGAGCAGGCGGTATCGAGAACGAAACTGCATTCCATATGAATCAGCGCAAGGGCTCAATCTCCCTTTGGTAGCTGCATGGGAAAATACATACCTCGGCCCCTTCAAGTTAAAGGTATGACTGATGCGATTCGCAAGAATCGTCGTCCCCATACCCGTCGCACTATACCGATGCAAATACTCAGGGTCCCTCGTCTGCATCACCTGAAAGTCAACGGTGAAGTTGCCGACGTAACATCCTACGTTAGAGCCCGACACTTCATCGAGACTGGCCCCGGCACTCTCAAACGCCTCGAACACGACTTCCAGCAGCTTTCGTTGCTGCGGGTCCATGTAGGTCGCCTCGATAGGGCTGATGCCGAAGAAGTCCGGGTCGAAGGCGCGAGGATCCTCCTGCAGAAAATAACCACCCGTGGTGTGCATGGATCCAGGTCGATCCACACCTTTGGGGTGGTAGAAAGCATCAACGTTGAATCGACTTGAAGGGATCTTGCATTGTCCTGATTTTCCCTCCTTTAGAAAGTCCCAGAGACGGGAAGGCGAATTCACGTCACCGGGCAAGCGACAGCCTAGCAAAGCTTTAGCTTAGCACAGAAATGTTATGTAGACCGAGGTAAGGGGGAGTTCGAACCCATTCCAACGATTGCAATTGGTTCATGCTGGCCACGAGCGGTATCTCTATGTGGGCCTGTGCCATTTGCAGTGAAGACAGAAGGGGACGAAGGAACGGAAGAGGGGATTGAGGAGCTAGATGGAGCCATTGTAGAGAGTCTTGGACAATGAAAAGTCTGCTAAATGCCGGAATCATACAAAATGTTGAAATTCAAATGTCGATTGGATCTCCTTCATCATGGCCATATATGATGGTGCCCCGTAACGACAGTGGATAGACCGGGAGGGCTGACGGAGGAGCTCCTTTGGGAAAGCCCCGAAATACTATAGGGCTATGAGTGTCGGTCTCTCATGCTCCGGAGGTAGATGGCTATTACGTTGGATGATAGTCTTGTGCGATGATGGCCACTTCTTTCTTTACCTACCTCGATCAATGGTTGCACCCGTTTGAGTGACTCTTCTGTGGACGTTCCTCGCTCGACACACGCCCTATTGCTTTGATACCAGTTTTCTACGAAAGGATGAACCATATTAAAGGTGCAGTAATTACAGGATGTGGAAGTGGAGGTATCGGCCACGCGCTGTCTGTCGAATTGAAACGTCGAGGTTAGACACACGCATGATTCTTGCATGAGTAGAGATAGCATCCTGACGATTGCCAGGGTTCCACGTCATCTCGACACTCCTGTCCTTTGAAGACCCCAGCCATCTCGAAGCCCTCGACATTGAGGTGGTACGGTGCGATGTTACCAGTGAAGAAGACGTAACTGCCTTGAAGAGACTAGTGGAGAAACGACTTGATGGGCGCCTTTCCATCCTCATCAACAACGCAGGAATATGTAAGTCATTACCTGGTTAGAAGCCCGATAGAGTGGCTCCAACTGACGGAAGCGCCGAGCAGGTTATACGATGACAGCAACTGATACCCAGGTTGACGAAGTTGAAAAGATGTTCCGGGTGAACGTCTTCGGGCCAATGCGCATGGTCCATCATCTCCATCCTCTTCTTGTGCAAGCCAAAGGCCTCGTTGTCAACATCGGTTCGGTCGGGGGAATTGTGCCCTACGTCTATGGAGGTGCGCTCCATTTCTTCAACTAATCCTGTAGCTTACTGAGATTTAACTCCAACCCAGCCAGCTATAACGCCAGCAAAGCAGCGCTTCATCATTACGGCAATACCCTGCGCGCGGAACTCAAGCCTTTCGGTGTCCGAGTTGTGAATATCATATCGGGAGAAGTCTCGACCAATGTCTTGCGCACTGATCGTTCCAACCAGCGAAAGCTCCCAGAAGGTAGGTTTCGAAGTCCTGCTTCGCGCCTAAACTTACCACTGACTCCGACATTGCAGAGTCAATCTATAGTGTTCTAGCGGAAGACTTTCAGAAGCACATTTATCGTACACCCAGTAGGTTTCACAAGACCCCGGTTTTCTCTCCATCACTTGCTCATATACTTTATCTGCAGAAACCATTACCCCGGAACAGTATGCCCGGGGTGTGGTCGACCAACTGCTCAAGCCCTCGCCAGCAGCTTGGGTGTGGTACGGCGCGCAGACGGGAATTGTGCGGTGGTGCGACATGTTGCTGCCGCGCACATTCTGGGTAGGATCCCTTGCAATCCGTCGATCTCATAGCTAACGCCCACTCAACAGGATTGGCTTTTCTATCATATGTTCAATTTCAAAAAATTGGCGAATGCTGTCCGAGGTGTGAAGGGAGATGTCTGATCGGGGAATCTTTCGTGAACATTGGCAATAATTTTGACACCCGAATGCCAAATACTGTTGCAGGGGGCAATATAGGCTGTGCTATACATCCAGGAATAGTAAGGATGTAGTGGAACTCGAGCACTGACTTGTGAGATCGTGGTAGGACCTTAGCTCGGGCCGGTTCTTAAAGGAGCGAACCCCGATATTGAATTTCGTCGGAGATAGCCAGATCTTCTTTATGACTTCACCGAACATGTTTATACATCGCCATAGTTATATCTAATCCTGATACTCTGCTCATCGTATAACTGTAAACATTCGTACACCTTCCACCCAGAACAGAATCAGTAATCATTTGGCAAAGATGAACATTGACGGATTTGCACTCGTGACGGGAGCAGGTAGGCGCTGACAAGCAAATACACAGATACATAGTGTTCAACAACTGATACATATACCGCTATCACTAATAGGTAGTGGCATTGGCCGCGACTGTGCCATTGCCTATGCCATTGAAGGCGCAGCCGGTGTGGCATTCGCCGATCTGGATCCCGTCGCAGCGACAGCCGCCGCCGAAGAAAGCAAATTACTCGCTACGAACCCCGACTACCGAGCATTGACCATTGAGGTTAATGTCCGTGATCCAGACAGTGTCCAGGAGATGGTTGACACAGTCGTCATGGCCTTTGGCCGCATTGACTACTCCGTCAACAGCGCAGGGGTGAGTGACAAGTGACGCCCGTCATCCCAAGAATATATACAGCATAATCTTTGCTATCTTCAGCTGACTATTTGTTCAACCCTTCTAGGTTGGTGTCGAGCAGCCAGCAGAGATTTCCAAGGCGTCAGTGCGAGAGTTCGAGCGCTTCATGGACGTCAACGTCAAAGGCACTTTACTCTGCGTCCGCGCCGTGAGCGCCCAGATGAAGCAGCAAGAAGCTCGGCACTTCTCGTTGCGTACGTCCACTCCCGCCCGGAGCTGTGGTCGGGGCGTGATCATCAATCTGGGATCGAGTAATTCGTATGTGGCGACGCCCAATATCGTTCAGTATACGGCCTCCAAACATGCGGTGATGGGAATTACTCGCAATGCCGGTGCGTCCCACGCTCAATTCTTTCTCTCTTCCTCATTTAGGAAACTGACGGTGAGAAAATTAAAACCAGCCCTGGATTTAGCTCCATACGGGATCCGAGTCAATTCGATTTGCCCCTCGTGGGTGGAAACTCCGATGATCGAGCGAGCGGTGGCGGGCGATCCGAATTTGGCATTTGTGATGAGTCGAGTGGTGCCGATGGGTCGGATTGCGACGAAGGAGGAAGTCTCCGATGTGCTGATGTTCATGAGTAGTCCGCGGGCGAGTTTCGTCACCGGGGCAGGCTGGATGGTCGATGGAGGGGCTACTCTGCAGCTGCAGACTTGAAGTCAGTGTCTATAAACATATATAGTACCTCGATAGTATCAGTATCGTGTTCATCCATTAGTCCCATTCACCCTTCATTGCTATCTCCTCTCTCTGCGTTCGTATCTCTATCAACAACTACTACTATTACTACCACTACCAACCACCATGGAAGACACCGGCCCTATCACCCAATTCCCAGCTGACGGCCTCCGCGCCTCGAAGCGGCTCATCACGTCCCACAATTCCGAGGGCAAAGGCGTGTTTATCACCGAGGACCACGGTGACCACCACAAGATCATGGTCCGCGGCAAGGGCGTAGCCAACATCATCTACAGCACCAAGGGCAACCCCGTAGACATGACCGATGACGCGGACGTCAAGTTCGCCAAAGAAAATGAGGTATTTCCTTCTCTCTTACCCTCACAGCCCCATTAATCACTCCCTTTCCTAATATCACGAAACAGCCTCCCCTGCACATCCCCAATGGCTCAGTCGTCCGTCTCATCGACTTTGCTCCCGGCGTCGAATCGCCCATGCACCGCGCCGTCTCCCTGGACTATGGCATTGTGATTGAGGGCGAAGTGGAGATTAATCTGGATAGTGGCGAGTCCAAGATCATGAAACCGGGCGATATCTCGGTGCAGCGGGCTACAATGCACAAGTGGCGGAACGTGTCCGATACGAAGCCCGCTCGCGTGGTGTTTATTTTGTTGGATTGCTTGCCATATTCGGTTAATGGGGTGCAGATGACGGAGGATTTGGGCGATTTGGCTGGTGAATATGCTGAGAGGAAGGAATAAGTGCTTTCCTGTGGGACGTGTGATGCGTTTAGATAGGTGATCTTCGAAGATGCCACACAATTAGAGAAATCGTGGAGACAAATGTCTCAGAATACTACCAGATCTCGCGGAAAGTCTAGTCCATAGAGGTAATAGGAGTTATATACAAAAAAAGCAATCAAACTCATAGACAGATGATGTGGCTTATGCAGACTCTGTGGTCAATCTCTTCAATGCCCGACTCCGCACCCGCGCCTTGTGTCCCCAGATATAGAACAACACCGGGATTGGGATCAGCCCGAATTCCAAGGCAGCCAGCACAATCCCAGCCAAGCGTGGACTCAATGCATGGTAGAACCGCTCGCCGGCCTCGACCAAGCCTGCCGCCAGCAGCGACCGGCAGACGACGTTGGACACTAGAGCCGACGAGGCAAATATCCCATACGATGCTGCCACATAGTTCGTGCCGTAGGTGAAGATGACCGTATTGCCAAACCCGAAGAGGACGCCGCCGATGATGGACGCGATCCAAGGAATCGAGGTGGGAAGGGATGTCAGCGCGAAGATCAATTGCCCGACTGGAGCCAGCACGGCAGCGATGATGATGACGGAGACTGCCGACTCCGGAGCGCGTTTGCCTGTTCGCGCATCGACTGGATGTCGATTGATTAGTCGTCGCAGCATGGGCTCACATAAGACCGTCAGCGTATTGCCGATCAGTACTCCCACGAAGGCAAGGCCGGAGATCTCGGGGGACCAGTGCCGGAGGTCGGAGAAGACGATGGGGTAGGCGATGAAACAGAGGTAGAGAACAGCGTAGATGACGGCGATGTACAGATTCCAGAACCACAACACGGGTTCGGTGATGCACAGTTGGATGGGCCGCCAAATGGCCGTGGGAAGGCGTTGCTGGAGGGGGACTGTCTCATCGTGCTTCGACCACCAGCGCAGATCACCGGTGGACTGACGCTTAGCGGCTGCGCGTCGACGCAGGATGATGGGCTGGTACGTCTCTTTGATGCAGCTCATCAGCAGCCATCCCACCCCGGAAATGATCATAATAAACCAGTTGATGCCTCGCCAGCCCCAGCGCTCGTAGACGAATCCACCCTAGACAAACAATCTGCTTGTTAGCACCTTGTTCCCTGTGCTTACGTGGGAACATCTTACTATAATCGGTCCAGTTACTGGTCCATTCAATGGACCAATGGAATATACTGACATTGCCAGCGCCAGTCGCGAACTTGGCACAATATCGACCAGGCTCCCCGGCGCAAGGGTGATCATCACTCCACCGAAAATAGACCTAATCGATCGACATAAGCTTTCCCAGTCCTGCAAAATGGAAACACAAGACTCACCCCAAGACGCGCGCCACCAGGACGACAGCAAACGAGTTTGCCATAGCAGCGGCTGGAATTAGCCCTACATAGACCAGTAAGGAAACAAAGTACACCGGTCGCCGTCCAAATGTCTCACTCAATGGAGCGAGAACAAGCGCCCCGATCGACCACCCAATCAGGTAGAGCGAAATACCCAGGTTGGCGACCGTTTCGCTGGCAATACCCAGCTCGACCATCATCCCCGTAATGCCGCTGGAGTAGCATGTCGAATAAAGGACCGTGGCCCATGCAGTGTATGTGATGGCCATGATCGCGCAGACCTGGTACCAAGTTTTCCAGTTTTTGGGGTTCTCAGGGTCGTCATCGCGGAAGTCAACGCAGAACTCGAGAATGTGCCTGCTAGACTCATTGTTGGGTACAAGGTATGCACTCGACGCTGCTTGCGAGGGCGGTGTCGCTTCGCCTGTTGGAGTGGATATACCCCTTTTTGCTTCTAGAGCGATGCTGTTTTCGTCTGACTGAGGATCAATATTGGGACTCTCTCGGGTCGGATTCAAGGCCATGGTTGGAAAATGCTAGGCTTTGATACACTGGGACCGGAACCTTTTCGAGAAGATGGGACAACATAGTTCAATGTACAAGTACCCCCGATCGCATTCTTTTATCTTATAGTACGTCTACGACTGCTTACGACTTCTATTTTGAGTCCTTAGTATTATTCCAGTCGAGGTAATCTACCAGCTTATCTGACATGTTCTTCCGGTCATGAACAGGAGTTAGGGAGCGGCGGTGCACATGGTCAATCACCAACATTGATTAGGCTCCCACCATCAGCTCCCTTCTCTGAAACACGCTAGAAGCTTGAAGCCTGTAGTTTGCCACTGAGACGTGACAGCTGAAACAAGGCACAATAGAGGGGGCGAAGCTTCGGAGTTTAAGATTTGGGGTTTAGTTGCATCCTGGGGAGTTCGGGGCTGGCCGAAATAGGAATGACCATTAGGGCCGGCATTGATTGTGGTGGTCACTCAGTTGGTGCATCGGCCAGGGGCTGAGACACCAGCTGCATGTAAGACTACTCATTCATATTCATGGGGGCTATATGATCATTTGTCCCTGCGAATGCGTCTACACACTTGTACCTTGACTATACAACAACGATAGGCAAAACAAAGGCGTAACATGGCCGTGTATTTGCCCCGGAAGGATTACAACCTCCCGCAACTCGATTTGTTGTCGGTGATATTTGGTATGAACACAACAATGATGATCATCAGAGAAGTGAGATTTCTTTTTTGCTGAGATACGCAGACTCTCCCATTTCCTGGACCGAGGAAGACACCATCCTCCATGCCGAGGCGGACGATCCAAGCAACCAGATCACAAAGGGCCAGGCACGAATCCTTACCAAGCGCGTCGCATACCATCTCCGACATGACTTTGGCGTCGGCCGTACACCATTCACGGATGTGGTAACCGTCATTTCCTCCGGACAGGTCATGTTGCCAGTGCTGTTCTATGGAGTCATCGCTGCCGGGGGCGTTTATTCTTCCGCATCGTTTACATGTACTGCATCGGAGTTAGCTGCTCAGATCAAGCGGGCAAAGAGTAATATTTTGCTCGCCAGCGAAGACTGCTTTGATGTTGCCATTGCTGCCGCTAAGGATTGTGGTATCTCCCTGAGTCGCGTGCTTATATTGCAGAGCATGGGACATCGGAGAGAACTCAGATGTGCAGCCACTGATCGCAACTACCTCCAAGAACCTTGGAGTTCAGACCAAAGGCTGGATTGGGAACGAATTGAAGATCCTGAAACCCTTAAGAATCGGACGATATGTCTGCTGTACAGCAGCGGAACGACCGGGCTTCCGAAGGGTGCGTTCACGAGCGTCGATCCACCCTATATCGTTAATTTGAAAGACCGGTTCAAGGGCTCACTTATTCTTCTGGCAAATAGGGGTGCGATTGTCTCACCAGAATCTGGTCTCCTCCTCACTTCTTCCGTCCATGCTAGATCGAGAATACATTATTCAGAGACGCCACAGCGAGCCTAGCTACGTCTATCGCGGTACGACGCTGGCACATTTACCCACAGCTCATATCGGTGGCTGTCAGGGTTATTTCACCATCGCCGCCATCTCTGGTGTTAAGGTGTACTGGATGCGGAGGTTTGACTTTTCGAAATTCCTCGAATACAACAAAAGGTACCAGATCACCGAGTTCTTCACAGTCCCGCCGATCTATCTCATGATCGCGAAGTCGCCACACGTCACGGACCAGTTCCAAAGTCTACAACGCGCCTTGTCAGGGGCCGCACCTCTGGGGCCACAGTTGCAAGCAGCAGCTGAGAAACGTCTCGGATGCCTCATAACACAAACTTGGGGGCTAACGGAAACCTCCGGAGGCGTGACAATGCTCCCCTGGGACGGCAGCTTGAACGACAACTCTGGCAGTGTGGGAGCCCTAATGCCCAACTGCCGTCTCCGTATCGTGGACGATGACGAGAGGGACGTGGGCGATGGCGAAGAAGGAGAGCTATTAATCTCCGGACCAACTGTAATGCAAGGCTACCACGAAAATCCAGAAGCCACTCAAAACAGCTTTACCCAGGACGGTGCTTGGTACAAGACTGGCGATATCGGCCAGCAACGAGGACAACTGTTGTATATTGTTGATCGGAAGAAGGTAGGTTGACCGTTACAACCAGCGAAGTATTATCTCTACTGACTCTCGTGCTCGGTATAGGAGCTCATCAAGTACAAGGGTCTTCAAGTCGCACCCGCTGAGATTGAGGGTCTGCTATTGTCCCACCCTTTGATCCAGGATGCGGCGGTGGTTGGTGTGACCGATTCGGAGTCTGGAAACGAGTTGCCGCGGGCATATGTGGTTGCGGATCGCGCCCAAATCCCTGGATCAGAGATCCTGAGCTTTGTGAGCTCTCGATTAGCCGCCCATAAGCAACTCAGGGGTGGGGTGGTATATGTGTCCACTATTCCGAAAAGTGGTAGTGGAAAGATACTCAGAAGGGAGCTCAGAAAGATGGCAGCGGAGGCTGGGAGATCCTCGAAGCTCTAAGCCAGGACATCTTTGTCGGGGCCATTATTTTCTCATAGAAGTTGTGTTAGGTTTACGAGAGTGATGAGTAAGGTTGAATCATAGTGACAATATATAATGTCCGTATCTAAATATTCGTTAAATTTTCTCTGCCCGTCCGCCGTTTCTCTCCTTGGGTACAACGAGCACCGATAACTGGCCTATCGCCACCAAATCACCCTCAACATCGCTAATCCGAAGCTCAACATCCATTTTCTTTGATGTAAGCTGCTGGGAACGGGCCTCTTGAAATAACCATCTAACGCCTTCGGCTGGCAATGGCTTGTGCAGCTGTAGTTCTAGTGTCATTGTGGGATACCAAGCAGTCACCCACGTGTCTGCGTCCTCTTTAGTCAACATCATGCCGACCTTTTTGTCCTCCACCTCCATCATCCGGTTCACCATTCCAACCGCACTGTAGGGCGACGGCTGCCCTCGTTCCGCTTTAAAATTATCCGGAATCTGTGGCCAAAGGTCACTGATCATCGGAATACATTCATTTGTCAGACGGTCGTGAGCAATCCGAGGACCTATCCATTCCACAACCTTGGTCTCGCCAAGTCGAGAATTTCGCGGAAGAATGTAGTCGAAATGAGTTCTGACGCGTGAGTAGGGGTCGTGGCTGATTCTACACCGAATCCACGACTCATCTTGAACACTATCTGCGTCGTCGATGACCATTCGAGGAACTGGCTCAGCTTGCCTTCGCTCAATCTCGGGGTCCAGAGCAATCGCCGGAGTTTTATTCCAAGGACCGTATCTAGTTTTGTCTAACATCAGCATCTCCTCGTCTATACATCGGTATTGTCCTACCGTGCGTAGCACAATGCTCGGACTTGGCCATCCTGTACTAGTCGTATATGAAGCAGGCTGGTAAGGGTCCCCTTTTGTATTTCTTCTACTTCAAAGAGCCCAGTTGTATGGATCGCAACGCGCCGCACATACTCCACATGCAGGTTTTGTAGGGTCAAAGGTTTACGAACATCCCAGTCGCTTGAATGCACTCGTGCTGCCTCTGCAAAGAGTGCCGCGATAAAGCCGCCATGGGCCGCTATAGAGCTGGTCAGCCTGTGTTATTTGCCTTCTGATGATCGGGAGATTATCACCCTGTCCATTTGCATACGCTGACTCGAAATATTTTTCGTAGGTATGAGAAGATAAGCGCTTGACTGACAGTGCGTCACGGAGTTTGTTGGTCTCCATTCTAGGTTTGTATGATTTGGATCAGAGCTGAACAGTGTAGAAGTTTGCTCGCAGCTAACCGCAGGATGATGCCTAGTATAGCCGTGCAGATCGGCATGCACTAATCCGTCGTCGGGGCTTTCCGTAATGGGACGATGGCCGGCACAAATCAAAGTGTACTATATCAAGCAGACATCTCGATGTTAGTACCTGAGAGGAATAGACTACACGTTTCGCTCGCAGACACTACCATGGTAGCGCTCAGGATGCAGGACTATTTTTCTCTGGGCCAGATTGGCCAGATTAGCCTATGCGACGCCTCAAGGATCCTTTTCACCCTATTCGGATCCTACGTTGTTCTTCGCTTAATGTACAATCGCTACTTTCACCCTCTTCGTAACTTTCCTGGGCCGATCTGGGGAAGTCTCACGGATTTCTATAAGCTGTACATTGTGGCGCAAAAGGATGCTCACACTCGTGGTATTGAAATGCACAAGAAATATGGTCTGAAACTACCACTACCATAATGTAGTACAGTGCTCAGTGTCACTAATATGTATCAACGAATAGGCCCTATCGTCCGAGTAGCGCCCAATCTCCTGGCCTTCAGCGACCCTCTCCTCCTCCCCGTGGTCTACCATCGTCGCGCCGATAAGACCGAGTTCTACAGCACTGGCATCCTTGGCGACATCCCGCCACCATTCCAAACCCTCAAACACGAGGACCATGCGGCCAAGCGCAAACGCATCGCTCCGTCATTTTCTATGTCCAACCTACGCCGCCTGGAGTCCGACATGGATGTTCGCATTCTTGAGTTCTGTTCCACCCTACGCACCAAGCATGCCAAAACCGGCGACCCGCTGGATTTCGCCGAGTATGCGCAGTGGTTCGTCTATGACCTAGTGACACAGCTGGCATTCGGCTCTCCGGTCGGCTTTGTGCGGGAGACGCGCGACATTGGAGGGCTAATCCATCATTTCCACGATATGGCGCCGTTGGCGGGTTTCATCGCGGCGTTGCCGTGGCTGGCTAATCCGATTTTTCAGAACCCCTTGTTCAAAAAGTATCTGATGCCAAAGCCCGGGGATAGTACTGGGACGGGGCAGATCATGAAGGTGAGAGGGGCACGAGGAAATTGGGCGCATGCAAACAATATAGTTTTACCTTGCTAATGAGGTGCAACCAGTTTCGAGATGACATGCTTGAGCATCGACTTAAAGACCGATTCGCCGAAGGATACGATGATTTCCTCTCCAAGTAGGTGCCCTTCATCTCCCTGCCTTCTCGGCTCATGAAGGCGCTAACCATCTGTTATCCTACTTCGAATGAGCATAGTCTGCTCAAAGCCCGCAACGAGGATGGCAGCCTCATGACCATCGAAGAGATCAAGACCGAATGCTTTGTGCTCATGGTCGCCGCGTCGGATACTACCTCCGCCTTCATCTGCCCCTTCGTGAACTATGTAGTGCAAAACCCACAGATCTACCACTCCCTGATGGAAGAGATTACCACGTACGAGCGAAAAGGCCTGCTGTCGAACCCAGTGGTCAAATATGACGAGACCAATGCGATGCCCTACTTCATGGCCTGTGTCAAGGAAACGCTGCGCTACTCGCCTTCCACCCCCATGATCATGCCCCGCTACATAGCCAAGGATGGGATCAAGGTGCTGAATGATACGTATATCCCCGGCGGAACGGAAATGGGCGCCAACCCATATGTGGTTCATCGTGACACGAAGATCTATGGCCACGATGCGCACTTGTTCCGGCCTGAGAGATGGTTGGAGGATGAGGCACGATCAAAAGAGATGGACAAGTATCTTATGAGTTTTGGGTATGGGTCACGCGTATGTTTGGGGAAGAACATCGCTCAGCTGGAGACTCAAAAACTGTGCTGCCAGGTATGTGGTCGGCCCTGCTTGTCTCATACTTCTTCCTTCTGTGTGCCCTTCACCCTGGAATTTCAGTCGGTCTAACTTGAAGCGCAGCTGTTCCGTGACTTTACGATTGACATCGTAGATCGCAACAATCCTTGGGAGGCGAATAACTTGGCCATCATGGTCTTTGCTAAGCAGTTTCTTCGGATCAGTGAGCGCACAGCTACCTCGGTATCCATTTGAAGCTTTTCCTTGGGATGCGGTTTGACCATTTGAACTCACTAGTAGTTCTAAGACGTGACGAAGAAACAGATGATTGATTACTTTGCCAGGCTTCTCTTTTTAGCGCACATGCTGTTCATACACCCTTGAGGCAGAGAGAGAAGACATGACAGAATTTTTCCATAACCTTAGACTCACAGGCACTTTTGTCTACGCTTCCAGTAGACATGCGCTGATAGTGATAAGTATTTGGATTTAGATTACGAGCATAGTGTAACTCCTCACAACGCGGTGTCATTTCTGAGACTTGGGCTAACACGCATTCAAAGCAAAGATTACGGGTCAGGGCATAAATTGGCATAACATTGAATGGCATAATAATGCAGAAATTGGTTGAGCAAAATAGAATCGGACTTTCCCTTTCTGCTCGGCCCGAGCCTTATTAGGCTTAGCCGATAAACGGCCCGTACTGGAGTGCAAGAGAGATAATGGCCAAATTAATGTATTTACAAATAATTATCCCTTGAAGTAAATGTTCGCTGTGAAATTATCCTAACTAACTAGTCGTAGTGGATACCCGTAAGATACTATATTCAAGTAAATATATGCATAGAGCTATAACAATTACCGACTAGCTTGATGTGCTGGACAGATTTGAAAGCCGGCATTAAATATATTATACAATCACTCTTCCATCCAATACCAAACCACCTCAAGGACCAGGTGAGGTGGCTGAAGCACAACAATGGCCTCCATCAACGAAGTTATCACATCCAGGGTTTTCACATTTGGTCCCTTGACGTAATGCGAGCCCGACGAATTGGAGACAGAGTGGACGTTAGAAGCGTACATATTAACAGTTTTGCAAGGCCTTCGTTTGAGGGTGTCTTTGGCGGGTACAAGGAGAGCGGCCTTGGAGTTGAGTTCGTTGAACAGGGGTTGCTGCAGTACTGCAACCCGATGTCAACATATTTGCATTGTGATCTACCTTAAACATAGAGTCAATACTAACTACCAATTCACGGTGGAACGATGCTTGAAGTTTGATTGAATCATTCGATGAACTTGAAATTTGTCTACTGACCTGTGACTTAGTCTTCGCTGAATGAGAAGCAATATGTTAAGTAGCAACCTTAAACAGCTCTGGCGGCCGCAAATGTTTTCTAAAATCTCTCTCTGAAGTAAAACGCACTCAATAAAAGCATCAGTGTCTTCCCAGGTAGTTTTATTCATTTAGTCTCCCACTTGGGCTCTCAGTCTCAATACCAGTTGCTGCAGCCTCCTGTACAACCTTTTGGTGGCTTGTATCGGAAAACACTCATGTCTTGTCTAATAAAAATAGGTAGGGTTATACGGAGTGCCTGGAATTTTTTCTCCACCTATACTACTTTCACGAAGCCATCTTGTTGGCTTTCGATATCAATACATACCTGGAGAGGGTACATGGCACCGTGATGCACTATCTAAACATGAGAAAATCTGTTCCCGTTTCCTCCATTTTAAAGAAGATATGGGAATGTTGATCTATTTCAATTTCCGCACATGGCCGTACGACGCAATGCAACAAATGTCTTCGATTTCACCGGCCCTCGGTCCTTCCTACTCTGGATGTGACCGGACAAAGCCCCATACGGCAAACCCCTAAACCTGCGGATGTGCATAGCGAATCAAGGCATGTCAGACAATCTGTCTCACTTTTAAGAAGCGTTCAGTCCAAGCGAAACAATAAGAAACTCTTATCACATGCCCTTATGGTACTGTGGATTTCTTATCTTTGAAACCATATTAAAGATTGTCACATAATATGGACAAACAAGCCTTCCAAGAAGAACCTCCGTTTCCCGAGGGCCTCAACCTAGCGCAACTTGAAGTCATCGACTACGATAAACTAGTCAATGGCCCTGATTCTGACGAAGCCAGGCGTCTATTTGAGGCCTGCAAGCATTATGGGTTCTTTTACCTGAAGCTGGACCACAGTGAGAAGGGCCAGCAGCTACTCGACCTCGTCAAAGAGACCTTCACTCTGCAGAAGAAGGTCTTTGACCTGCCTGCCGAGGAGAAACGTCCTTACGATACGGGCCAGTTTTTAGGGTACGTGCCCCTATAGCCCTATGTGACCTTCTTAGACCTCTCACCAGATGCACAGATACACTGCCCCTGGCGGAACAGTCATTGACCGTAACGGCACTCGAGACCGCATGGAAGTATGGAATGTAAGTCGACAGGTAATTCCAGGAACAATAGCAACTGTCTCACATGCCATCTCTACTCTTAGCTCGGGAAAGACGATATAATGCAGCCCGGCTACAGTGTACCCAAGCCGCCTCTCTTGCTTGACAGTCAAAAAACCCTCCAGACCTTCACGCAGAGCTGCCATGAAGTTGCTTTGACCATCCTGGCCGCCCTGGAATCGCTCCTCGACCTCCCAAAGGGCACATTCGCCGACTTGCACCGACTTTCCGCCGAGTCCGGAGACCACGTCCGGTTCCTGAAGGTTCCTCCTCAGCCAGACACGGACCGCCGCACCGCACTGGGTGAGCACACTGACTTCGGCAGCATCACGGTTCTCTTCAACCGTCTGTCGGGATTGCGTGTGGTCGAGCCTGGCCGTCAGTACGGCGAGAACGACTGGGACGAATGGCCGTGGGTACAGCCACGACCCGGTCATGCGATCATCAATCTGGGCGATGCGTTGGTGAAGTTCACAAACGGCCTCTTTCGCTCGAATGTGCACCGCGTGGACCCTCCCTTGGGCACTCAGAAGCTCGTGGATCGGTACTCCCTCATTTACTTCTCCAGACCGCGCGACGATGTAGTGCTGAAGCGCCTGCCTGGCAGTGGGGTTATTCCACCGTTAGCAGATGGAGTTGTGGAGGAAGAGCTCACGAGCAAGGAGTGGATCGAGCGACGTGCAGCTGGGAAGCGTCACGGCAAGTTCAAGGGCCCGGAGCACTGGGACCGTATGAGTGGCACGGAAAGTGCCAGCAAGGCCAAGGCTTCTCCTATCGTTGTAGTCTAGCTTGCTTGCTCCATTGCTTGTGTGTAGGGGGCTCGTAAATTTGTCTTGTCCCATTTTGCAATCGGTGATATGATATGATGTTTTGTGGGCGGTACGGTGCCAGACCCGAACCGCAGAATGTGAAGATTGTCATCATTGGAAATTCTATTCGGTCCGAGTCGAGTGTCAGAGGGGTGGTTATGCGAATACCGAGTAGATACTTAAGTTGAGCAGATAAATGTCTTCAGTTTGAACTTCTAATTTGTCGACGGTCCTACGAGTTACGAGTAGATACTGCCAATTCATTCTTGGAAACATGATGCAGAATACTCCAACACTTCTGTCCTGGAGTGAAGCTAGAGGACTGATAGAATAGACGGACTATCCGCGTAAAAATAATGTATGTGTAGATAATATCAAGAGCATTTAGGTATAGCGACCTTCCCAATCATGGGTCGAGCACCATCAATCAAATAATTCGGCCTTCAAACGCCCTCTTCAACTCTATGCAAAGTAATTATTTTCTTCTCTCTCCTTTTCAAAACTAAGGACATGAGAATAACCTTGCTCTGGCTAACGATTTTTTCAAACTCACCTCAGCGCTAATGCATTGTGCCCTGATTCTGGAGTGCGTGGCGGCTAGTGACCGGCCCGTAATTCGAGTAAAGGAAGAGAAAAGTACTAGTAGGGGACTGAAAGTGCAGGGGGGTTTGACACTGCCTTCTGTTGTGGTGAGCGGAAGCGACGGGCTGAACTAAAAGAGAAATAGCCGGGAAGAGTAATCAGAGACAGACATAGGCAAGGGAGGGGCAGAAGGTGCTGTCGTGGTACTCTGTGAAGTAAAAGTAGCCGAACCCATCAGGGATCAAAGGCTCGAACCCTGATCACGGAAGCTTGGGAAGCTTTTATCATCAACAAGCTTTTTTGTTAAACAAAGCAGGTGGGCTGATGGATCAGAAACCTACAATAATAGGAATATTGATAGTAAGCGCTAACCTCAGTATTTGTCCTAATTGGATGATTGAAGCTGACGTTGCCCGCGGGAGTTCGGGGACGGAGTCAGGCAATCGGGGTATTGGATTATGGGGGGCCTTGATTACATCTTCTTTGTATTGATGTGATGTTTGATGGTAAAGTACCGGGTTTTAACTGTGCATAGCTCGTCGTTAATGCCGATAGCTCCGTCCTCGCCGACGCCCTTTTTCGCCTTCCCCGAGTCGTTGGAATTTGCTTGCCCTATCAGCCCCCCCCTTGAAGGACCCTTCCCCTCCTTCTCCTCTTCCACATTCTTTTTCAAATCAATGAATCGCTTCCCCGCCTTTCCTGCCCTCAGAAGACTGTCTCACATTGCCTCAACCCTTTCTTCATCTAGGCTGCACAAAATGGCTTCTCCTGACAGCACAATCGTCCTTATCACCGGCGCCAACCAGGGGCTCGGCTTCGAGGTCGCCAAAAAGCTGGCTACCGACCACCCGGGCTACCACGTGCTCATGGGCTACCGCGATGCCGCCAAGGGTGAAGAAGCTATTGCCAAGCTCAAAAGCCAAGGATTGACCGTCGACGGAGTGATCATCGACGTGACCGATGACACCTCCATTCAGTCGGCTGCCAAACAGGTGGCAGACCAGTTCGGTCGATTGGACGTCCTCATCAACAACGCCGGTGTGATCACCGAGGGCCGCTTGCCCGAAGGCACCTCCCTCCGCCAAACCTGGCAAGCGGGCTTTGACATCAATACCACGGGTCAAGTCGTCACTACGGAAGCCTTTATCCCTCTGCTGGAGAAGGCCGCTGTGCCGCGGATTGTCTTTGTATCCTCAGCCTTGGGGTCGTGCACCGGCCGGTTGGACCCCAAGGATCAATTTGCTGCCTTTCAATTCCCTGCCTACCGCAGCTCCAAGGCGGCGCTCAATATGATCGCCTGTCATTACGCCAATCTTTATGGGCCCAAGGGATGGAAAGTTAACGCGAGCGACCCGGGATTCTGCGCCACCAACTTCAACCGTTTCCGCGGCTGGGGCACCCCGGAGAGTGGTGCACTGCAGACGGTTCACCTCGCAACTTTGGATAAGGATGGACCAAATGGTACCTTTAGCAACACCGATGGGCCACTGGGATGGTAGTGTCGCTGTGTATTAATGGGACTACTTTGTTGGGCATATTAACGAATTGGATACGGTTACTGCAGCTGAATGAACCTAGATTGTACACTGCGTAACTAAAACCGTATCCAACGACAGGTATCCTGCTCAAATGAGAGTCAAAGATAGATTCTCAGAGAACGGTCACTTAAGCAGTACAATAACACGACTACGTAACTGCATGAGAGGTAGAATCCCTGTTGTTGCTTTCGCCGAACTTGCCCTCTTCATCCGACCCCCCTTCGGCCATTACCACTTCGACAATATCCCGAATGCGCAATATGCCCATCACCCATTCAGACAAGCAACAGAAGTATCTATAATACCCATTACTCCCCGAACAGTAGTCGACATTCCCCCATCCACATTCCTGCCTTCGAATCCAACAGTCTTCCCATCAGAAGAAGTTTACTCGTCCACAATGACCACCCCAGCGCCAACCCTCCTCTCCCTTGCCACGACTATCAACACCCTCACCCAAGCCATCATCATTAAACTCACCATGCACAATGTTCCCGAACCCACCTTTACCAGCTCCACAAACCACCCCCTCTGGCAAGACCCCACGCTAGACCTCAACACCACCAAAGCCCGACTTGTGGATGCGGCCACCAGCCTCACCCGCCTTGTTGCAGGACCTCTGACCTTCCACCGCGAGGTTTTCGGCAGTCACTTCGACCTGGCCGCGCTGCAAGTCATGCTTGAGCACAGGGTGTATGACCAGATCCCGCTCGGCGGCGGTTGCATGACACTGTCAGAGCTCGGCGAGCGCGTGCGACTGGATCCGGCCAAGTTAGCGCGTATGCTACGGTTGCTGGCGACGCTGAATATTGCGGAGGAGGTCGATGATGGGGTGTTTCGCCATACTGCCTTTTCGGAGGTATTGGTCCGGGATCGCGAGTTGCGGGCACAGGTGGAGATGCAGTATGTCCCCCTCTCCCACTTCTCTCTAGAGTGAACTCCTTCGTAAAGAGATCGTTTTCCGCTTTATTACTGATGATAAGGCGGGATGGTAGATTGGATGAGATGCACAAAGCGAGCGTCGAGACATCAAATTACTTCAAGGAGTATCCGGCTGCCGAAGAGAGTCATCTGTCGCCGTTCAAATATCGGTAGGGCATGCACCACTCCAAAATTTAAACATGGATTTCAAAGCCACAACCAAACTGATTATATTACATACAGCTGGGGCACCCCTTTTTACGAGTGGTATGAGAACAACCCGGAAAAGGGGGTTCGATTCGCCCTCGCTCAAGAGGGGATTGCCAAGTGTACGTACCGCGGCCACCCACACAATGCTTTGCTGTCTCTTGCAATACTTCTGACATTACCCTTTTAGTGGATCGATCCTCCGCCGCCCTTGTCGAATGGATCAAAACTAGTGGCCACCCCGAAGGCCGACTCATTGACGTGGGCGGGGGCAGCGGCCATGTCGCCCTCGAACTCGCCAAGGTATGATCTTGATCTATCCAGTTGTGTCTCTACCTTCTCCCCCATCCATACTCTCTCTTTCTTCCTCTCTCTTTCTCCCTCTCTCTGCCTACCAAACCAAACACTGAATATCCAAACAGCAATTCCCAACATGGTCCTTCACAGTCCAAGACATCTCGGAAACCATGTTTTCAGAAAACTCCCAATACGCCGACCCGAGTCTGCTCTCTCGTGTCGGATTCAGCCAGCACGACTTCTTCCAACCACAGCCGGTCGTCCCGGAGGACGTGAAGGCATGGTACATCCGCTCGTGCTTGCATAATTGGGGCGACGACGACTGTGTACGCGTGCTGCGGCAATTCGCACCAGCTCTGGAGGCGCGCCCGGAGTGCTCGGTGCTGATCAATGAGAGCATTGTGCCGGCTCGGGGTACGGTGCCGCTGCGCGAGGAACATCTCGTTCGTCAGGTGGATGTGGCGATGATGGTGATTGCGAACAGTAAGCAGCGGAGTGAGCAGGATTTTCGGGATTTGATCTTGAAGGCAGATGGGCGATATGAGGTGGTGAGGGTTATTCGGTTGCCGGGGACGATGGGGGTGATTGAGTTCAGGTTGAGGAAGTAGGGTTTTCGAAATACCGTAAGAGAGAAGATATGGTAGGTTGATTTTGATGAGTACTTGGTCTGTTTACTTGATTGGTTCTTTGTCGTATTACAGTCAACAAGCATGGGATTTCATATCGTAGCTATTGTAAAGTAGAAGGAAAAGCCCCTACTACACACACCAACGATCTACCACTCTCTGTTTTATCCGCACACCACAACACCACCCTTAACCTTAGAAAATCGCCATCGCATTCGCCTGCGAACTAACCCCACCTACACCCATTAACTAGTTAGCAAACACACCCTGCATCCAACACAGCAAATTCAGCGATTCCGGTAACTTACTCACCTTCGACATTGGCCGGCGCACTCGTCATGAAGAAAGTCCACCTACCCAACTGGCGACACAACGCAGCCACGCGCTCCAGATCCCACATTTCCCCAATCGGCATCCCCCACAATGCCAACACATACTCATGTAGGAAGTACTCTTCCTGGGGTGGCCAGCGCTCGAACGCCGGCGCATCCCCTCCCACCGCCGCGAAGTAGCAATCATGCAGCCAGTCCAGCATCGCCGCCTCCTGCTTGAGCCCCGCATACTCAGTTTTCTCGTTCTGAAGAATATCGGCCCTATTCTCTGGAGACATCTGATTATACCTGGCCACGAACCCTGAGCGGATCATCAGGGTCGTGCCCACGGAGATATCCCCGCCTTGGGAGACGGGTAGGATGTTGATCCCCTGGCTGTGGCCGCAGGCCTGGAGGTCGGTGAAGGAAATGGCGCTGCCTTGGTAGGGGTCGTAGGTGAGGCCATGGGTCTGGGCGTAGGTGTAGAAGTCTAGGAGGAGGCAGCGGCCAGCGATGCCGCCGTGGGTGGCGGACCAGTGGTGGATGCTGTTGTTTAGGGTTGGGGTCGAGCCTGTGATGTCGGTGGCGGTTGTCTATGTTTTTTCACTTTTGTTTAGTGGGATTGGTTTGATTGATTGGGTGTGGTTGGACATGATGTACGTACACTGTTATAAAACAGTCCCGAGGAAAGGTGTGAAAACTAGTAGTTATGTTAGAAACTGAGTGATGGGGTCTTCACGAAAGGAATAGAATGGGATGAAATAAAGCTTGAACTACACAGTACTGCTACAGAAGAGATTCTCACTTACATGCCGGAATCCATCCCACTGCGTGCCGCTCTGTGTGTTCAATGACTCGTACAGATCATCGTAGATGAGGTTTTCTTGTAAGGGCTTGATCTTGTGCACAAAGCCTGCTCGACCAAATGCAGGGGGGTTGGGTACACCTAGGGGAAGACTATAGGAGCCCAGGTATAATAAGTAAGTACATGTCAATGAACTGGGATGAGCGGTTCTGCGGAGAGGTAATATAATATCACCCACTCTAGCCGGATCATTTGGCCAGTCTTGATCTCTGAAGAGGCCGCATCTTTGACACGTGTGGGCGTTAACAAGTTTAGCCGTCCAATCTGGTAATAAATTAATTGAAATCAGAAACCATTTCGCACCGACTGAAGAAAGTATCCTACCTGATCATTCTCTCCCCATACCCACGCAGCATCTTTGGGAGCACCAGGTATATGAGGCAGGTCCTTTCTGGAGGGGAAGATTGAGCAATTGGGATCCCAGGGAATTCGATCTGCTGACTGGACTGCACCATCCTGATCTTGATACTGGGAGAAGGACATATTGACTTCGGAGCGCGATCGGACCGAATAATTTCATTCCGTCTTGGGATGATGGATCCTTACTTGTTCGTTATATAGTTTTACTTGATTCGGCGGTGCTTTAGGGTCACCGGTAACTACTCAAGCTCCCAGTTCGGGATTACTGAATGTATACTAGTTGATTATGTCCACGAAAGCCGAATACATATACCACGCCAGAACTTGCTTTTCCTTCTAGCTTTTCATGACTGTGTCATTCATTTCATCCCTGGATATCATTTATCAGGTCAGGGTAACACAACCAGGGCGCCCTATTACCGTACTGGGATGGCCCGATGCTGGCTAACCCTTTCGGAGAGGCTCCGCGGCTAGACCGAATGCAGAATGCCCGGCCATGAAGGCCTCGATGTTATGCTTATTTCAGCTGGGAAATCATGGTATAGACATGATTAGAATCAAATTTCCTATTTGAGAGAGTGATACGTCCGCCCCATCCTTTCCTTTTGTGGACTCATTGCTACTAGCTAATACGCTGGATCCTGCCACAAAACCTGTCGGGGCAAGTCACAGCCTTGGGGAGGCACCATGGCTGTCTCCAGCTTGCATGGGTTGTATATGCTAGGAAGTAATGTCGCTGCATCATTGTGGTCCAACCCCCTATACGCGATTAGCCCAGTTCTCATCGCGGTATGTAGTACTGCACTTCCATCCTGGTCTCTCACCTACACCATGTCTAATCAATCCCCACTAAACCCTACCATCCAGCTCCCCACCTATTTCACTGCCCTCGCTCTATACAACCTCTACTTCCACCCGCTCTCCAACTACCCAGGCCCTAAATACGCCGCTGTCTTCCCCCTCTGGTATGCCTACGCTCTCCTCCGCGGTAACTTCCACGAGGACATGCGCCACCTCCATGCCCATTACGGCTCCGTCGTACGCTATGCCCCCAACGAACTCTCCTACACTGACCCGCGTGCCTGGACGTCCATCTACAGCGGGCGTCCCACTGGCACTGAATTCCCCGAACTGGGAAAAGACCCCACTTTCTATGCGGGCTTTGCTTCAGGCAACAAGAGCATCACCACCGCAGGCTTCCACGACCACAACCGCTTCCGAAAGAAGCTGGCCCCCGCGTTTGCAGAAAAGTCAATCCGCGAGCAAGAACCCATCATCAAGGGGTATGTGGACTTGTTCGTGCAGCAGTTGGGGCAGCGCGCGGGCGAAGTGGTGGACATGAGCGCTTGGTTCAATGTGAGTTTCCGCGCAGCAGCGGAAAAACGAATAAAACCCCCTCTTGTTACTTGTTCTCTATCATGTTAATCAGTTAAGGAAACAGTTCTGCACCTTCGACATCATCGGTGACCTAGGCTTCGGTGAGCCCTTCGGTTGTCTCAAACGAGGCGCGTATGACGACTGGGTGCGCTTAATCTTCCTCGCTCTCAAAACGAGCATGCTCATACAGATCAGCGCGCGGTTCCCATGTTTGCAGTCCCTTCTGCTGTGGTACCTGCTGCCGGCGGAGCTGGCGCGCAAGCGACTGGCGCATATCGCCAAGACGACCGAGAAGGTGATGCGCCGACTGGGCAGAGAGACGGATCGCAAGGACTTCATGCAGTATTTGTCGACGGGGGCGCCGGAGTTGTCGTTTGACGAGTTATCGAATAACTCGTCCACGTTGATTGTGGCGGGGAGTGAGACTAGTGCGACCTCGTTGGCGGCGGTGACTTTTTACTTGCTGAAGAATCCCGAGAAGATGCGCAAGCTGAGAAAAGAGATTGAGACAGCCTTCAGCATGGAGGAGGAGATCTCAATCCAGTCCGTGGCTGGCTTGAAGTACCTGACTGCGTGTTTGGAGGAGGGATGGAGATTGTATCCGCCAATTCCCTCGGGGTTGCCACGACAGGTGCCCGGGGAGGGGTTTGGAATTGCTGGCCGATGGGTTCCAGGCGGGGTGCGTCTTGAATATAGTCCATTCTACTTTTGATTATTGAAGATGAGAGCTGCGCACTGACTGAAGACCAACTAGGCCGCCGTATCCGTTCATAGCTGGGCAACGTCGAGGTCACCCAAGAACTTTCGCAACCCGGACGAATTTATTCCGGAAAGATGGTTGGGCGATCCAGCATACAAGGACGATAACTTGCAGTCAGTCCAGGTGTTTCATGTTGGACCTCGGAATTGCATTGGAAAGAGGTATACTTTCCCTTGTCTTCATAGCTGATTGTATGTCTAGGTCGTCGACTGACAACGCTTTTTTAGTCTGGCGTATGCCGAAATGCGTCTGATTCTTGCTCGTCTACTTTTTCGGTTTGATCTGCAGCTCATGCCACATAGCTCCAACTGGGCGGAGCAGATGTCGTACATGGTCTGGGAACGAGGGCCATTGGATGTCCGCGTGACAGAGAGAAGGACTGCTTCGGATAGATTGTAGAGTAGGGAGTGCTATGTATAGAATGGAAGGGACTCACCAGTCAAGCATATTCCATTCCCTAGGGTTGGAGGATACACGTCATGGCTCGTTTTAGAAACGGTAGGCGAGGTTTCATGTTAGTAGGCGTTAGAAAGAACTTGGCCCCAAATCACGTGATGGGTAAAGAAATACCGCATCCCAGCAAAAATACTAGTGCCGTTTATTGTCTACTGCGTATTGAAACACACCACCTCTATAGCAAGCAACTAAGATAAGAGCAGCAAAACTAACTGCAACAAGAATGAAATATGAAGTTATCACTATTACAGTACTGACTTAGCTCGGCTAACTAATTAACTACGTCTTGGTGGTGTCAAAGATACCCCGCTCAAGCACTTCCATATAAGGACGTCAGTTCCCCGTAACCTAAGTCCACTGACAATCTTCTTCTATACACTCCATTTCTTATCCCGACGCGATTTGCTTATAGCTTTAAATTACTCAACCAAGATATCCGTTACCATGAACGACCCCTTGAAACAGTATCTAAAATTCTCCGATGCGGACCGACAGTGTGTATCCCTCGTATTATTACAGCCCATCAGAAAGATACTGACATAAGGGATCGGAAAGCCCACATACTCCAGCGCTGGAGGTAACTCTAACTGCACCCGGAAACTTCTATACTGAAAGCTCGAATTTGAATCTCGTTACAGTGACTATCACGAGATCCAAGGAGCATCAGGAATCCAAGCCATGCTACTTCTACTGGTCCCCCAGCACCGATGAAGGATTCAGGGTCTTTCGTGACTCGCCCAGTGAGGGCCTAATGGAGGTGGAGGTGGAGTCAGATTGCTCCTCACCAATAACGCGGCAATCAACCCCTCTTCACCTCTGGTACTTGGGTGCGGATGATGAAGCCGTGTCGTGGGATATCCCTCTTGGCGAGAATCTATCTCGATCCGTTATAAAAAGTGAATGGATCACATACGAGCTCTTCTGGCCCGGAGGTGAGGTTCATTTTTGGGATTGGGGATCGAAGGATACAAGTAAAGAAACGTTGGAAATCACGGAGCTGGAGGCGAACTCGACCCCGATGACACTGCCTGGAGGCGCACGATGCTCTTTCAGATTGATCGAAGGTAGTGCGCCGCCACCGCGGCCAAGGCGTTCAAGTTCTCCTGTGCTCGAAGTGGATCCTGACACTCTGTGAGTACTTCTCTGCTCATTTTGTGTGTAGTAGTAGAATGCTAACATCAGCTAAGTGCCCCAGGCGTACCGATTCTTACCCTCGAGATCGAAGCACCGCCGACATGGAGAACCCAGGAAAGCTGGCCTTTGACCTGGAAGCTTACCTACCATGGGGTATCAGGAGACGAGACCCCCCGACCGATTACCTTCTCAGTCAATGACTTGTATGCTTGGAAGGCATCTTGCTTCTATCGGCGTAGTCCGGAAACGGGAGAGTGGAACTCCTGGCGCAGTTATTCTACGGCCGGATACGCTGTGTTCGAGGAAGAAGATGTTCCGTGCGCAGTGGGTACAAGCGACGGTTTTATGTCACTACAGCCCAACGAGACCTGGACTGAAGTGCGAGAGCTTGAGACTATGATTGATCTACCAGAAGATGCTCGAGATGGAGAGGTCTTGCGACACCTGTTCAAAGGATGCAGGTTAAGTTGGTGGGACTGGGGAACAAAGGAAGATCATATAGATACCATTGTATCAGTCATCGGATTCGGCGTGATTACAAGTCCACCCGATAATGATGGACGGCCAGAGGTGGTGATACCAGCTTCCGATATGGTAGAGTTCACAGTTGTGAACTAAAGGTTAAGACAATTGATTGTTCCATTAATGACTTAGCGTCGGGTATGATATAGCCATGGTACCCCCTTCGAGTCGCTAATAGTACTAGCCGGTAGAAGGAGAAGCTCCCTTCTCTAGCTATTGGGATTTGTCTATATAGGATTACCTAACGATTGAGTCGGAATGGTAGCATAATTCCTAGTATTATTACTACCCGACTTATTCTATATCATTCCTGCTACTTGAACATACTAGTGTATGTTTTAACTCTATCATAGCTTCAATATAAAAGAACTATTACTAGCCTTGACTAGCCTTAACTACAGCGTCAATAGACTGACATGCTTACGAAATAGAGAGAACTACAGGGGTATCTGTGCTATGAGATCATATTGTCTATTTTCGTTTCCCATACAAACCAGCGGACTGGGAATCTCTTTAGCTGCAATGGGAATTAAGTCTACAACTCAGCCATTGACTAAGAGAGACACCAAAAAACAAGGCCTTGGGAGCGGTGAATAACCGACAATGTACACATCAACCGGCTCAATCATCTCCTATTAGCCAGCAACGGTTCAGTCTCCCCATCCTCAGCCAACTGCCAGTGCTTCCTGTTCCTACACGCCAGCCACAGCAGAATCACCTGAACCAGCGCAAAGACCGCACAGTCCACAGCCGTCCAACCAACAGAAACATACCAGGTATACAGCGCAAACCACGATGCAAAAACATTCCAATCAGGATCGAGATATACAAACCGAAATGGCCAACTCAAAGCAAGAACCGTGAACACAACTGCTTGGATCGCAAGTCCTGGAAGACTCAAAGCTCGCGGCGGCGACACCCCCTTTAGCAATTTCGACGCCTGACAGAACACAGCGCTGAATAAAAGAAGTGTCATGACCGGGTTGACAAATATGAGATGTACACCACCCCAGAGAGCGAACTGCCACTCATTCTCGCTGGTGGGCGGATCCTCGCCTCTACGGGTTGTGAGGACCACGCATACTGACGGAACGACGGCTACGAGGAGGTAGGCAATGTATGATAAGGCCGCGGAGAGCTTGGCTCGGAAGGATGAGTCGGAGGGGTATCGCAGGCTTAGTGTAAATCTTTTTCAAGAGTTGGAGTCAGTACATGTTTCTCGAGTGGCAATGAATGCATATGTAAACTCACGTAAGGCCAGAAAGTATCCAGACAACAGTGATTTGAATCAGATTCATCCAGTCTCCTAAGGATCCGGGATTCTCCACAAACATATTCTGCTCTGCATCTGGGGTGTTGTTGTAGAGAAGCACAAGCAGAAACTGCTCTGTCGCACAGATGAGGTTTAAAAGTACATAGTTGATTGAAAGACCTGAGCTATTCTTGCTTTTCCAGAGGAGCTGCAGCTGGGGTAAAAATGAGAAGATGCTCAGACCCAGTAGGAAGCTGGTAGGATAGAGTCAGTGCTAAGACCTTCAGATGAGAGTTAAAACTATCCGAGTTACGCACATTCGGAGCCAAGAGGGGAGGAGTGATTTCGTGATCATCGCGATTTGATATAGTGGGGGATTGGGTCAAGAATCCGAGACGAATGATTAACATGAGGGGGGGCATAGGGTATTGAAAGAAATCATAAAATAGAATGAAGACTAACTATACAGTTATCGTACTGTGAGAAGGGTGACAGATTGGGAAGGAGAAGATTAAAATTGCGTGTGGGGCCTGACTGTAGGCCAGGTACCAGATCGAGTAAAGTCGAAAACTTAGGGATATTGTGTATAAATGATACTTTGCGTGGTAGGCTAGAAAAGGACATACTGTGATTGCTGCCTAATCTTGCTACATATTTCCTCCACTCATTTGAGCTAAGGGTCCAGGTCTCATCATAGTAGCAGCTTAGCTCCATCCACCTTTCTACCTGGCTGAATACTTATCCGCCACTAGGTTCAATTGATTCAACCATGCCCATGATAGTCCATAAAGGTCCACCCACGCGATAGTACCTACTACTTTGTAAGTAGTCCGAGTGTCTAGCTTATCTTGGCGTCGGCGGCCCGTTCGGTCTTTGTCCAGTCGCTTGCCAGAGAGCATCACCGATGGGAATGGTAGCGATGTTGAAGGTAATGCCCGTGTTGCTCTACTCCACGCTTGGAATGAGCCTTTATCAAGGGATACACAAGGCTAGCGTCAGCTTTGCTATCTCAATCGAATTGGGCTAAAGGTGAGTCTTACCACTCCGCTTGGACTTGCCGCAGCATCACTGCTAGCGGCAACTGCGACGGACGAAATTGGAAGATGCGAACTTGTTGATACGACAGCCTCAGACCATAGCCCTGCGGTTGGCTTTGGAATACAGCCGCCATACACGAAGCCCTTATTGGGTGCAATGGCTACTGCCGTCGCACGGTAAAGGTCACACTGGCTGGAATGTCCGATATAAGACCAGGCTTGGCATTTCATTGTTTGGCCACACCAATGTTCACACTCGCTTGCTGTTTCGATATGAAAGCTGTATGTGATGGGAGCGCTGCTGAACCAAGCAAATGTTTCGTTATGAACATTGGTCCAACACTCTGAAGTGGCCTCGGCGCCGAAAATGGCTATAGCAGCAGCAAGCATGAGAGAATGGATGAATAACATCGTAAGATATGGGATTACTGCTAGTATTAACGAAATAAAAGGAGAAGATCATGGTGGCACAGCCGAAAGAGAGCTGTCTAGCAGCATGAAATATATATCGTGAAAATTTCATTCATTACTAGACGATCGGTTATTTTTCACGTTTTGTCCGTTGAACCTTCACCAAGCTACAATTCTGTAATTTTACTACAGACACCCGAGGATTAGGAGTGCATGACTAGTAGTGAGCTAAAGAGCCACCTTTTAGATTAGAACCGCTCAGATAGTCATTTGCCCCTTTTGGAGCAGCCCTTCGAAAACTCGCATCGGTTTCTTTCGGCTACATTGCGGTGCAAATGTAATTACTAACAACGATGGTAGTTGTGAAACAATGCTAGTTCCTGCTCTACCGCTGGGCAACCTCTTAGTTCGCTACAAGAAAGCCAGCTACTGGAAGAGGCATTTTATATACGAACTTCTAAGAGTACCAGGTGCAAAGCATTATGCATTGGACTAATAAGAACACCTAACAACGAGGGGGGGAAATCCGAAATTTGTCCTCGAGCGTGACATCCTGTGAGAGCTGGAACCCTAGGAAATTAGTGCCACCGATTAGCAGGCAATTTTGGCTGGTGTGCTGAATTTGAATAATGATTCGGGTGAGGATCAAGTAATCTCTGCTTAGCCTAGCAAACTAGCAATGGGTCTAGGGATTTCGTCGAGCTTTCATCCACAAAGGTTATACGGATAGATACCTGTGCCACTACCAGTGTGGGTCTTCTTGTTTTGTATATGGCTCAAAGAGCGGATTGAGCTACGGAGCAAGTGTAATGAACGCACACACTAGTAGTCAAAGCTGTTCAGCCTTCGGAAGTCGAGACTGGAGGTTCGTATTATCTCTTATTCTCATACAGATTAGTGGATCTTCTGTTCAGTCCTTGTACGGAGGGTTTATAAAGATTATGTCGAACTATCTTTAACGAATAATTATATATAAATATGAATAGGACAGCTAGCTACCTAATCTTTCCATATTCGCCCCAGCCAACGGTTACTGTCAGTCTCTCTTTTGTCGTATAGTCCCTCCTTTATTACAAAACTTTTCTTGTCACCTCCTACTTCCTTGCTTTCTTTCCTTAAGATCTATTCTTTCCACTTTTTCTTCGATTTCTGATAGACTGCATACCGCTGCCCAACAGAGTATGAGGCTCCTTTCTCTCATTTGGTGGACCTCATGGCTCGTTCCAAGTCATGTGCGGGCAGCAGCTGTGTTTGCTCACTTTATGGTATGCCTATTGATCATAGTTACTTCTTGAAAGTTTTTCAATGAGGCTGCTGACCCTATATATTCAAATCCAGGTGGGGAATGTTCCTACATGGGATGCTGCCACTTGGGAAGACCACATGCTCGAAGCTATGGATGCTCATATTGATGCATTTGCACTCGACATTGCAAATGGTTGGTATGCCAACAATGCTTCGTTGGCTCTGGCATTTCAGGCTGCTGAGACTGCTGGATTTCAACTTTTCTTCTCCTTTGATTATGCCGGAAATGGATCGTGGGTGAACGAGGATGTGATCGCTCTCATCAGTCAGTACGGAGGATCAAGCGCTTATTACCACTACAATGATCATCCTTTTGTCTCTACATTCGAAGGTCCAGATAATGCTGAAGACTGGGTCACTATTAAAGCCCAAACAGGATGTTTCTTTATTCCTGATTGGTCTTCCCTGGGTGCCATACCGGCAGCAGCGGCAGCGGATGGAGTAGCTGATGCTTTATTCAGTAAGTAGCAGTGTTACCATTATATGATGACTGAGGTAAAAAGAAACTGATGTGATTGCACTCGGGCATTTGTAGGCTGGGCTGGCTGGCCATGGGGAGACTCGAATATGACTACATTCGTCGATGCCTCTTACATTGAGACGCTGAACAGTTCTGGAAAGCCTTACATGATGCCGGCTTCTCCATGGTTCTATACAAACATGCCTGGCTACGATAAAAATTGGCTTTGGCGGGGAGACGATACCTGGTATCAACGGTGGATACAAATATGGTTTCTCCAGCCTGAGTTTGTTGAGATCATTAGCTGGAATGACTATGGTGAGTCTCATTATATTGGTCCACTTGATAATAACTCCTACGGCTCATTTCCGACCGGCCGGGCTCCCTTCAACTATGCTGAGAATATGCCGCACGATGGCTGGCGAGAGCTTCTTCCTTATATGATTGATACGTATAAGAACGGACGAAGTCTTGTCAGTGAGGAGAAAATTGTGACCTGGTTTCGCACCTCTCTATCGAATGACTGTAATAAGCAGTGGACTACTGGAAATACTGCTTCGCAGTTACAAGAGGAATTTGCGCCTGATGAAGTTGCACAAGATCGCCTTTTTTTTACCGCTTTGCTTGCATCAAAAGCCGATGTTATTGTGCACTATAATGCACCTACAGACATCATTGAAGCTGACTGGGACTATTTGCCTCCTTCTCCAGAAGGACTTGGAGGTGTTGGTTTGTACCATGGAAGTGTCTCATTAAAACACGCAGAACGGGTCACAATTGAGCTTGTGCGTGATGGCACTACTTTCCTTACACTTACTCCTATTCAGAGTATTTCAGCAGATAACTGTGTCAATAATCTCACCAACTGGAATAGCTATGTTGCTGCTAGTGAAGGCCTAGAGGTGACGGCAGAATATGCTGCTTTCCATCTCGACCAGATGATCTGCACTGCTGGCTACAGCGTCGGTGAGTTTGACGAGATTTGTCAATTTACTTGCTCTTTGGGATACGTATGTGACGTCCTTTCATACTTTGCGCCATAAGTGAATCATCATACTAACCTTTATCAAGTGTCCAATTGGAGCTTGTGTCTGCACTAATCTGGGAGTAGTGACCACATTTCCGAATGCCACAGGAGAAGTGGGATACCCTGCTAACGGGGATGCCAATTGGGCTGGTCTCTGTACTTTCGCCTGTAACTTCGGCTATTGCCCCAGTCAACATTGTTCGGACAGTGTACAGCCTCAATGGGTACCAAGTGTGTCCCCTTTTACACCCTCCGCATGTGTGGCCGGCACTGGCGAGGGCAGTTTCTCAGGGCTCTGCAGCTATGCCTGCAATTATGGTTTTTGCCCTGAAAACCACTGCGAATGCACTGAAACTGGAGCACTAGTAACAGCTCCTGCGATTGTGAATGAGACTGGGGTCTCCCTGATTGGTTGGGACTCAGATTTGTGCAAATGGTCCTGTGAACGTGGATACTGTCCGGAAACCGCCTGTGCGCGTGCGGTGTTCAGATACCCGGATAACTCGTGCAGTGCCGCCCAAAAATCTACAATTGAACTTGAGATGACGAACGCGATTTCTATAGCTTCCTTTGCTGCTTCTGACTTTCAATCTGGTCCATATTATGAATCTTTCTTTCCGGACAGTGTGCGGACGAGCGCTTTCACCTCGAACGCCAAAACAGTGTTTGCGCGGTCCGCCAAGATGCTTTCTGGACAAGCAGAGCAGTCGAACGGCGAGCCGTATGAGTTGCTGATTACCTGCCATAACGTAAAACTTTGCACAAAGAAGACACAGCAGATGGTTGCATTCATGAATGATCAGCACCATACCATGAACTTCTGTGACCTGTTTTTCGTTGCAGACTCCGACCCAGACAGCAATGATAAGATCACGAGTACCGCCGCGAGGTTGGAACATTGTGGAACTTTGAACCTGCGCAAATGCTCTCGATCACGGGCCACAGTTATTGTACATGAGTCCATGCATACACGATATGTCATGAATCAAGCCGAGCCGTTGGTTCTTCCTATTATAGTAATACGCTACAACGTGAGCTAATGCTATCTCATCAGGGCTAATGATTATGCCTATGGCATCAATGGTTGCTTGAGCCTCGCAGCCAACACATTCACTCGAGCATGTCCTCTGTACCAGAATCTACCGTTGCTATGCCCAGATCCCACAACCGGCAAAGACGGGCACTGTGATGCAAAGTACACGGCGATGAACGCCGATTCATGGGCATTGACTGCTGCTGGGGCCTACTTTAGCGCCCAGTGTAGCCGAGAAATCCCTATCTCTAACGAAGTACCCACGACCGTCAACCTTGCCTCTCATTTATCCAAGCGAGACACAGGTAGCTCTGGTGCCTGTGACTTAATGGACGATTTCATTGTGTGGGACTACTATTACAGCACGGACCAGGTGACTGGCATCGTGCACTTTGGCGATTCCTTCGCGGCAGGTATGGGGACCGGGTCGACAGCTTGGACTTACTGCCGCTTGGGCAGTAGTAACTATGGCCAGCTGTTATATAACTACCTCGATAATGCCAGTCTTCCATTTGAAAACCTTGCCTGCTCGGGGGACACCACAACTGGGCTGGCGGGTAAGGTCAGCGCATGGAAGGGCACATCGAGCACGAATATTGGGACGTTGACGGTGGGCGGCAACGACGTCGACTTCAGCAACATCCTTTACTATTGTATTTTGGATCCAAACTGGCTAACCTGGGCCCCCTACAATCGGAAATGGTGCAATAATTACAAAACCAAGGCACGCAGCCTGATGGCCGACGGTAGCAACGATGGATTGCAATATAAACTCAAAGAGGCCTATCTGAGCATAGTGAACACGGCAACAAACGTGGACTTCAGGCTTTACGTGACAGGATACCCCCTCTTTTTCAACAACGAAACCAGCACCTGCGATTCATCCTCTTTTCACTACTGGTGGGGTGCATATAAAGGTCCCTGGGACTGGCGCATGGTGTACTTGACCACTGCGCTGAGAACCGAGATGAACGAACTGGTGCAACAGATGAACTCAGTGATAACAGCCGCCATAAGCGATGCCAACACTGCTCTCGGAAGCCCAAGAGTTGTGTACGTTGATGTCAAGTCCAAATTTGTCGGACACGAGTTCTGCGAAGAGGGTGTGAAAGAACCAGACCCCAGTCGCGATGAGACATACTTCTTCCTTAGCGGGTGGAACGATGTGATTATTGACAGTCAGGAGATGGTGAGTTTGTTCCTTCTGCATAACTTCTATTACAGAGAGGCGCTACTGCCACACGGGCCCTTTCCCTCACCTGCCTCTGACCCCTCTCCTACCTCTCCTACCTCTCCTACCTCTTCTATCTCTGTTACCTGACCTACCGTTGACTGAACCAAACTTTGAAGACCACGTCCGCCGTGATAGCCTCCGAGGTGGCCACCCTCATTGCAGATGGGCTCACTCTTCCCGACGCAAACACCTGTAACACCACACTGGGCACGGACCCAGACCCCTACGCGGTGGCCATGTGTCGAACAGCTCTCCGCATCGCTGGTGATCCGGAAGGACTTGAGGCTCAGAGTTTCGCCCAGGCCGAAACAGATATCGCCAACAAGAATTATTCGAGCCAGGATATACCATTGTACACGCCTGTCAGACAGATAAAATCCTTTCATCCTAGAAGCAACGGCATGCTTGCATTCCGTGATGCTGTCTTGGCGGCGCTTTACTTCTAGCAAGATTCATATGATCTTAAGACAAAGGAGCAGGAACTGGTTGAACGGTTGAATGGTATGTATGAATCTATCTAGGTTCCCAAGATGTTATGGGAAAGAACCAGCTGATGTCTAGCTAGAGAGAATGTCTCGACGTACGATGATCAAAAAGGGGAAGGTGTAGAAGGAACACATGACACTACCCGGCTGTATTAGGGGTGTCCAGGCTAGTTTAACCCTTGATAACGATGCTCAGTCTACTGAAGGTGTGAGAGAGTCACTTGTTCGGATTTATGGATCAGTCCAAACAAGTGTGAATAATACAAAACCTCGTGAACTGTGAGTTAGATTAATAGCGACTAGAGTGAATTAATGTCACGCACATATTTTGATGATCGTGATATATGATAATTACCTTTGCTTCATAGTACTAGTTAGCCGTAAGTTGGCCAACACATCTCAGCTTCGCCGCATGATGTCAATGCAGGAGTAAACATACCACGTCATTCTCTTCAGTGCTGAGCGCGTCATGGATATGACCTTATTTCTTACCCTAAACAGGTCTCATACGTTTCTGAAACTGAGTATGCTTTTTTCAGTACATATAGCTTTCAGCAGGCCTGTGTTCCTAGCAACTTGCATAGCTAAAGTTTTATCTAGCCGAGGGCGGTTCCACCATTTCCGAATGAGCTTAAGAAGAATCGAGTAAACTGATAATCGTAGCTGACTCCGTCCTAGCTGCAATATGATCGAGAAACACGTCTGACATATCTCTAGATGATGTTACACAATTGACGGATTTATGGGTGATTTGCCTGACACTACGGCAGAAGTAGACACAGAATAGTGGATGATCCTACGAAGCCTCGTGCACGATCTTTAGTGGGGCCCTGTCAAGAGAGGAACCACCAGTTGCTACTACTAGGGCGCTCGGGCCTAAGAACGGGGAACCGCCGGCGGTGGCAGTGCACGAGACGAGACCACCACTGCTACTGTGTACTCACTACTTAGGGCACAAACTCGATAGTCTCAGGCTCGGTGTACCTCGGTCTAGCTCAGCAAGGTGCAAACATGCTTTAGCGTCAGTTCTGATTTGGACGGCAACATGCTATGAGACAAGCCCTGGGGTTGAAACAGTCGGTCTTGCATGGACGGGTACTAGACTGCATGCATGTCAGACCGAGGGGTAGATAAAAAAAGAAAAGAAGAAGAAGGAGTAGAAAGAGAAGACGTGAAGTAATATAATGGTGGTTGTGGTTGGTAAGCACGATGGAGGAGGAAAGCCGACCGCGGCAGACTGACCAGAGTCAGACAGCAGCTGCTAGATTGGGCGGGGATTGACCATTCGGTGGTTGCCGCTAATTGTAGGCGAGACGGACGGGCCGTGGGGTCCAAAACAGTTATAACGGCGGTACTACCGGGACCAGCCTAGTCAGTAACCAAATCAGTTAGCAGGTAGTCGGATCTTTACCTAACTACCTACATGTCAGCGATGAGTAGACTAAAGACCGACAGAAGGGGGGAGAGACTCCTACCAGAAATGGTGCCTGGAAAAAAGACTGGGATGATGAGAGACATGGCGGGGTAACGAGCTGACTAGTGAGTAACAATTAGTTATTAGCAGTGACTAGAAGATAGTAAAGACTAGATACAGCTGTTAGTACGAGGTTCTAGTTTAGCTTAGGCTATTTGGCCCCCTCGTTGTGCCGCTCATCCTCTCAGGCACACCGTAAGCATTCTATGCATCCCAAGTCGGTCATTATCCCCATGCATCTAACCTGCCAGGATCATTGGACGAAGCAACAATAAAGTCATGCTTCGTGAAACATGCCCTGAAGCTTCCCTACGCAACGGAGTCAAGCGAAGGAGCCCTAAAGCGAGCCAGATCCCTCCCACTGCAATGATGGGGAGGAGAAGAACCAGGGACAGCAACTAGTCGCTCCGTCTAGTTGCAGCCTGGGGCCGGTACCTTACTGCTTTGGTCGCTCTCTCCACCCGCAATCCCTGTTCCCCGTCCCCATCCGTCTCCATCTCCTGCCAGGAATGATCTTCTCCGTTTCCACTCTTGCGCACACACTGCCTACCATCCCTCCTTCTCTACTGTGCTTCTGTCACATTCGATCCAGCCCGGACCATCGCTCATCAAAGTCCCAATGGGTCCCCCCCAAGCTATGACGGTTCCCACACTAGCCTCTCCAATAACAATCTTTCATTCTTTCAACTGTCGTTGGTTCTCCGATGGCTAACACCACCAATGCGTTACTAGCAAGGGATTACTTCTTAACTTATCATCAACCAACGAGGCTGGGGCGTCTGCAACCCCTCCCGTGTCCATGAGCGGGCCGGATGACTGGGTGACGGGCTGCTAGCAAATCAGCAAAGCGTGTAAGACAGACACGCAGCCTCGCATAAGCTGGCCACAAAAAATTCGAGGAGGGCTGCAGGTCACCGACATAAGGCATTTTCCTCCTAGTACGGCATGGTTGCTTTCCCCCCCCCAATCAGTCGGGGTCACCTGGCAGCAGCCGGGCACGGCGCCTCAACCTGCTTTCTTCCTTCTCCTCTTACTCTGAAACAACTTCTTCTTTGTCGCTGCGGCTCTCTGTCGATGATCGGATCTCCTTGTTGTGCCCTCCAAACCAGTCATCTGGTGATCGAACTTTAGTCTGCTCGCTCGCTCTTATGTCCGTGGCCTGCCATCCCGGTTCTCCCCATGTCACATCCGCTGGTGGCAGCCGTGTGGGAACAGCTGGGCCGCCGTGATCTTGCCCACATCCTACGCGAAATCATCGGAGAGCATGCGCTGGACATCGCGCTCTACCAACAGGATGCCAAGGCATCCGTTGAGCCTCTCACCCGCTCCGTCTTCTGGATCAAGACCATCTTCGACGCCCAGCGAACCTATCTTCAGGGTTTGAGCCATGTTCGCGACTGTCACCCTTACTTCCTGCCCTATCTGCTCCCCACCGAGACGATCTTCTCGGCTCTGATGTACCTAGTCAAAATCAAAGTCGAGCTCTTCCCCTCCCATAAATCGACCGATGGCGATTTCATTCGATACAGACTCCTCATCGCGCATACGCTACTCACCGGTATTCGAGTGCTCCTGTTGCGCGGGGAGGCGATTGATACCGACCGGAAGTTTCAATTTGAGCGAGCCATGAGAGCGGCCTGGAGGAACCCGGACCTTTCAAATGTCGAGCGCTTCCTGATTAGTGATTTTCTGCCCAAGGCCCTAACTAGTATTGGATCCCCAGATCTGTCAACGAGTCAGGCCTTCCTGTTGGACTGTGGAAAGCCCTATCTTCCTCCTTTCGCAACGGGTCTTGTGAGTGTTGTTGAAGAAACATGTTGTGATGGGACAGAAACTTACTGCTTCTTAGTATCCCCTTTCGGGCGCTCCAGAGAGGCTTATCACTGATCTTCTGACGAACGTGATGAAGAATGATGCTGATCAGTTGGTGTCCTTCTGTCTCTTATACGATATGCTTTGGGCAGTAGACTCCGCCATCATCCAGTGTCACATTGATCGCCGTCGGATTTCCCAAGAACAGGGCTACACCAGTCCGGCAGCATATAAAGTGGACGAGTCCTTCAATCAAGCACAGGAAATCAAGAAAAAGCTCACAAGGACGGTCCTGGCTGCCTTCGATGACGAGTTCAATACCGCGCCTCTTCGCATTTTCGCAACGATCATCTTGAGTCAAACTGCCGAAGAACACCCGCCCCTACAGACACGGAGGATTCGGGATACTTGGCATCAAATGGCTCCTATCCGGACTTCATGGGAGAAGGCATCTAGCCAGTTCGTGCGGTGGCTTATCAACCGCCGAGTGCAAATGTGGGATTGTAACGGGGAATTAGAAGCATTCTCTCATGATTATCAACAACACCTCACGCAGTGGTTGCAGAGCTCTTCTGCAGCCGAAGCCGATCCGAAACCTCAACCTAAGACTTCCCGCGTCAGCGCAGTCTACGTGGTCAACTGCCCTGCGGTGCATCCGGTTCCTGGACCACTACTGGAGGAAAGCTTAAAGGCCCATGACAAAGGTGCTTACGAGGTAGGAGCGGAATCCTGATGGTCCTGGTTGTGATTGTGCAGAGTTAACGTTGATTAGCAATTACAAGGGAGCCCCGAATTCCTGACGATGGATATCGACTGTCCTCTATGCCCAGGCAACAAGCGGGTTCAGCATGCTCGGATGATCGAGCCTCTTGAGCAGTTATCAGATGCCTTACATTTCTTCTCGGACTCGGAGGCAGAGCGGCGCCATTCTCTCCTTGATTCGACCTCGAGGGACACCACGTCCTGTTCCAGCTCTCTCAGTCACTCCACCAGTCAGTCCTCACGGCTTGAGTCCGACCCGTCAAAACGCCCGATTTCACCCAGCTCGAATCCAGCCCCGTTGTCGAAGGTAACGAGCAAGCAGGCTATCGCCACCACGACCGAAGTCTTCAGCCCGATCCTATCGCGGAGTAGGACGGACCAGTCACTTGACAGGCAAGCGATCAAAACCCTTTCACGCGACCTCAGAAATGTCAAGCTACCTTTTGGAGGCGGGGCATCGCTCTTCAGGAGGAACTCTGCCAGAGGACATCAGTTACCTCGTCAACCTCGGTTCTGCTTTTCGACCTCAGGAAGCTGTCTGCTGTTCTGGGGTGCAGGCAGCAACTGGGTGATGAGGTTCGAAACAAGCGTAGGGGACGGTAAAAAGCCCAAGGGTCACAAATATGATATTCCGGGTGTGCAACAAGCCGCGGCAGGAGACCAGCGGTGCGCTGTCCTGGCTTCTGTTGGACAGGTGTGTATTCACTTTCTATTGTTCTCGACTCCTTGAATTAGACACTGACAGACACAGCACTACGAGCTCGTCGTGTTCGAGAACGACAGCGATGTTCCTCAAGCGTACCTCACCATCGAAACAGAAAACCAGACCTTCCCCGTTACCTGCATGGTGATGTCACGCAACGATCGGTATGTTGCGTTCACCCTTCAAGACCAGGTTCGAGTATACGAGATATGCACACGAACTATCCAGAGAGTCTCGCTAGGTAGTGGCATGGATCGGTCGTCGGACTTTGGTCACCGGTCTGTGATGGGCGCGTCCCCCAATGCCAAGGGGACGGCATATCAGGGGAAGAGACAGGAGGCTATCATCGAGAGGAAGTTGCAATTTTCTCCAGATGGAAAACACTTCGCCATTGCCACCCATCTTGGAGACCACTATGCCTACGTCGACGTGTGGAACTGCACGTTTCAGCAATGGAGCATTGTCCCTGACAAGTCGAAGTCGCTCAAGCTTCCATCGGTATGTATCTTCGTTCTCCCCGAAAGAAATGTGCCACTAACTGTTCCTAGTGGACAAGCAACGACGGGGACTTTACGGGTGTGTTTTATGATGGGACACAGCATGCGGTTCTCCTGACGGCCTTCTTTGCGAAAGAATACCCCTCATTTTTCTCGATGTTGGATGACAAGACAACGAACGATACCTTTAGTACGCGAGTGGTGCATGCGGCGCAGTCCCCCTCCGGGACGCGATTCATTATAGCGAACGGGATGTGCGAAGTATACGTGGGTGATTCCAAGGCCAACGGGCGTCTTCAGCTTTCGCGGGTCAGGAAGGCTTCTTCCAAGATTAGCCCGTCTGTCTTCCGACCGGGACAACTGGCATTGTCCTTCCCTCAAGAAACCGAGGTGCTTGCCTTCTGGGTTAAGGCGGGCAAACTGGTGCTGAGGTCGGTCCGCATGCAAGACGGCATTGAGACGACCAGCGACTGTGATCTGCGATCTGATTTCGACCGACTAGTGGTTGAGCGGCCCATGGCAGCTGATTTCCATACTCAACGTCGACGGCATTCGTTGCTCTCGACCGAACTACTAGCCGAGATCGATGGTCTACCCTCTCTTCCGCGGCCCGATCTGCCAGAGCTATCGTCGACGTGATTCTGAAGGGAAAAATGAATGCTGGAGTCTGGCGGCTGACATTGGCGTTGGCGCTTTGGAATAAAAGGGCTACAATGCGCATTCTGGCTGTATGTGTGATGAGCTACTATATATTTTGATTTAATGTGCAATGAAATGTATGAAATGTATGAAATGTATGCTATCCATAATATACTACTTACTTTCTTCCATAATAATAATTTATGTCAATTCGGGAGTGGCCGCTGTCGTGGCCCGAAAGGGACTAGTGCGGGGACGCCAGCAACGCGGAGGGGGAGAATCGCCGAATTCCGAACGGCCCGATTAGTCGACGTCACCAACCATCTTCTGGGAGTCAATTACTCTCTCTCATAGCAGAACTGACCCAGTGAATTCTGGTCTCGTGCCACCACGAGCTGGACACGCTGCTTGTGCATGTCGTCCTAATCTACTGGGGTGGGTAATGCTGGATTCCCTTTGCTTCAATTCCGGGGTGTCCGGAGGTGGACCGGCGGGTGATCGACTCGGCATTGGCCATCGAAGCGCGCTTGCCCCTCTCTGTCTCCCCCCTATCGCTGGGGTGGACTGATGCCCTGTCGTGCATTGGACGTGAATAGCTAATCCTTCGTGTGTCTGGAGCTTTCTAGCAATTCTGCTCCCTTCAGCAAGGCAATATTCACCACATCCTGCCTATTCAGTCCCGAAAATTCAAGCTCCAACTTCTGCTGTCCCGGCTGCAAAAAAAGTGAAGCGAGCTCGGGTCGACGTCATCAATACATCCCATCCGCCCCGTTCTTCCAACCCCAGAACGTCGTCGACTTGCGGTCTTCTCGTCCTTTCCCCATCCTCTTATACTTTCTACCTTCATCTAAATTTTCGCCATTATGTCGATGCCTGAGTTCGACCCGGCCCGTCGGCCCTCTCAGTCCGAGAATCAAACCATTCTCAAGTCCGAAATCCCCTTGAAGGAACGGTTCTTCCGCTATTTTCAGCATGAGATCACCGGTATGATTGAGCTGATCCGGCTGATTACCTATGCTCTTCCTCTTTTCAGAAGAGAGGAATCTGACCCCTGTTCTTCCTGTAGCGCTCCAGGAACAGATGGATCGGCTGGCCGATACGTCGTTAGTGGGAGGTGAACGGACAGACGCAACCGATCACTGTCTGGCGGGCATTGCGCGCTTGTCCAACGAGGTCAAGGACGCAGCCAGCTACATCCCAACCTATGATCAGCGGATATATGCTGAGGTATACATCCTCGTGTCTTGAGTAGCGCTTGCCGTACTGACTTTTCCAGGCCATCAAAGCTCTGCAGGACAAACTCGTCGAGACTCGAGCTGCAGTCGAACCACGACCAAAGTTTAGCTTCAAGACCAAGAAGAATGCATCCGCCATTTCGCTGTCCGATGCAGCGCATCTCGCCGCTCAAGGTCGACGCAGTATTCCTGGGTTCCCCTCCCCTGACACATCTTCGGTCAGCTCGTCCGCGACACAAACCCCCATGTATCCGTCGACGCCTCTGAACGAGCCCGACAACCGCCTCCATCTACAAAGACCGGAGCTTGCTCCGACCTCTATCCCTGCATTCACAGTGGATGAAGATGAGGACAAACCCAAGTCAGACGTAGGGGGTGGATTTGCCGCAACGGCCGTGTCCTCAGTGTCTGTAAACAACCACCATAACCTGCACATCATGCTGCCGTCCTCAGGCTCGACCGCAACTGTGCCCGCGTCCATTACCCATCTGCGACACTGCGTAGTCGACATGTCCATTCCCACCGCCAACGGAAAGCCGTACACCAGTCTGACCATCAAGAGCGTTAAGGAGAGTCTCCTCGTCTGTGGCCAGATCAACGGCCCGGCCCATATCACTGGTGTAGAGAACAGCATTCTCGTGGTTGACTGTCGGCAATTCCGGATGCACAACTGCTCCAATGTGGATGTCTATCTCAGCTGTTCTAGCAACCCGATCATCGAGGACTGCAGCAATGTCCGATTCGGTCGGAAGCCCCGTGTTTACGTAGGTTTCCTCTTTAATCATGACCATGCTTCTACTGACGATGATAAATCTAGACGCTCGATCACGATCGCCCAGATGACGAAGATCACTGGAGCCAGGTCGAAGATTTCAAATGGATCAAGCCGGAACCCAGTCCCAACTGGAGCCTGCTGGATGCCGAAGACGCCGTGCCGGAAGAAGTCTGGGCGGAGATTGTGCCTGGTGGACCAGGCTGGTCGCTGGATGATATTCTACGTGCGATCAATATTTCATCTCATTAACTGAATGTTTGCCAGTAACGAGCTGAGGAGGGAGTTGGCGTCCGGTTTAATGAGTGTCATAGTTGCAATTACTGCATTATGAATGCGATGGGGACAAACAAGGTAAACATATTCTATGTACCGGACTGGGTTCCGCGATGCGAGTGTTGCTTCTGAAGTACTCTCTTCTCTTGAGTGGTGGTCAAGTTATGGCAGCTGGGTAAATATATCTGGTGTCGGACACCCCACGAATTCATTTATTAGTATTTATTAGTCTCCGCCTCTATGGTTCAATTTAAATACTAATCCACTTGACAGTGTCTTATGCTGAAAATTAGCTACTGGATAAATTTGAGTTGTCGCTGCATTTTAATGGTTGTGCTCATGATGGTGAAGGGCCGCGTCGGGTATCACCATGAAGTACCCGCAAAATATATTTATACAACTGCTTAGTAAGTACTAGTACCCTAGTAGCCACCACAATGCTACCAATCCATCACTCACCATCACACAACTCTTGCAGAACCTAAGTACCCCAGTCTAAAACCTCACTCTAAACATTACTTACACCTGATCATCAAGACCATACCCCGACCCATTTCGCATACCTGAACCGACGCGAAATCCATGAACCCTGCTAAGTAATAGAAGTGCTGCTCCCTTAGTTGTTAACTAATCCCAACTACTACCTCAAAAGACCGGATTTAGAGGAACTAAAGGGATACTAGTGCTGCAGGCGCGTGGGTGCTTCGCTGCATACAATTTGCTTGATAGGATGAATTAGCCAGAGCCGAGGGTCTAGTCCAGTGGCAATTAGTTCTCTACGTGCTCTGCAACAGGATACTACTAGGTTCGAGTCATGTCATTTCATTTCAATACTTATTTTGAGATTCGTCACTACTTTTTGAGCTTTCATTCGCCACTCCAGGTCGTCGGCACTTTGGGATAGTTCTTCGCATCCAATCCTAGATCTTCATAGATGGTGTCATCGCCTAAATAGAAGTTAGTCATCGGATCACAACATAGGCTTGGCAACTTACCACGTAGAGCTTCAATCCGCTCTTCATTCTCCTGTTCCAACTTCTCTAGTTCCTCGCCGGGCTGTGCTTCGTTGGCCTGTTTGTCGCCCTCTTCGGCTGTCGCGGCCTTGCCAAGGTCGTCGGTAGCCTCGCCGATCATCAGGAATTGTGCGTTGGGGTAGTCGATGAATTCTGGCTGCAATGGGACCCAACGGTAGTCGCCGAATTTTTCGCGCAGACTGGGATTTATTAGCGCAGCTCTTTGAAATGATCTGGGGCAGTTATAGTGTACCTTTCGGGATACTCGGGGTCCTTCTGAATCTGAGCATAGGATGGGCCAGGGTATTTAGGGTTCTTCGACTGGATGACCCAACTGCCTCGAGAATGCAAACCAAAGTCCTCCTGGATGGATCCGATAGTCTCCGGAATGGTCAAGACATAAGCCAAGTGAGACGCCCGAGTCGTAGATGTGATGGCGTAGACGCCCTCGGCAAACGGTCTGGCCTCGGGAACGGTTCGCTCACCACGGGTTGACGTTTCGTACGTATCGCCAGCAATGAAGGTCTCTTGGAGTGACTTCATACTCTGTCCAGCCTTTTCGACGAATCCCATGTCGCGTTCTTTACCAGAGGTGGGAAACTTCTTTTTGGGCAGCATCAACAGCCGGCACTTTGCACCAGGCTCCACAGAGCCCTGCTGTTGATTCAATGTGGCACCAATGGGTGTTGGTCGCAGCACCAGGAAGCTCCGGGCAACATCGCTAACGCTTTGCGGGTCGGTCACATTTACGCGCGGTCGGTAGAAGAAATAGATGATTCCCTTTTCGAGTACGTTTGATGCGACCTTCTCCTCCCGCTCCTGGGACGTCTTGACTCCGGCTTCGGCGCCGTCAGCAGCAGGAGCGGGCTTCTCCTCTTGCTTTGTCTCTGGCTCTGCCTCGCGCTTCTCCTCACTCTTTTCCTCCGGCTTCTCCTCTAGATCCTTTTCTGGCCTCTCCTCGGGGATTTCATCTGGCTTTGGTTGATCCTCAGCTTTGTCGGCGGGCTCAGCTGGTGCTGCTGCGGGCTCTTCATCGCTCTTCTGCGGTTCTTCTTCGGCAGGTTTCTCAGGTGCTTCTTCAGACTTCGACTCTGGCTTTTCCGGCTCTTCCGCACGTTCTGATCTCGTCAGCCCGAATTTCCATAGATCGACGGTACGCCATACCTTCTGTGGTCTTCACTTCTTCCTCGGTCGTCGGCTGCTGATTTTCCTCGGGCTTTACCTTGTCATCCTCCTTCTTTCCTTTCTTCGGTGCAGGGCCCTTGTCAGAGGTTTCCTTGCGCTTTGCGCCAGCAGGACCTCGGCTCTTGACATCCGGAGCAGCAGCAATGGCTTCCTTCGCCTTCTGAGCCGCTTGACGGGTGGACGTTCTAGTGGCGGCCATTGTAGCAATATGGCTCAACTTTGAGAATGATCAATAGGCCAATTGGGAATGTATGCACACAGGAACCGCGAGGAGAGATGAATGGGCGAGGGGCATGAACGATCGACTGGTGGTCGCCAATGGAAGTCGTTGAGATTCGCCGGAAATGGCGATGAGAACCCCGTGACGTCATACAGGGTCCAGCCCGTTCTGGCTAGTGCCGCGTCAACTACGTCACGTGTCACATATAGATTCGGAGAATTGGGGACGAAAGGATGAGCGTCAGTGTCAATCTCCCGCAATAATATCGCTCATTCATCTAGGTCCATTGCATCGGCATCAGTGTGACTGGAAGGCTGGGTTGCACTGTCATCTGTAGACGGAGACCTTGAACTGTAGCTCCCCGACGAGGTGGTTTCGCTGCTATCGTGCTGCCAGAACATCCCCGGGGACAAATGGTCCCTCGCGCATCTGCCTTTTCGGCGCCTCCTCTTGGGACCCTCATTGGACTCGTCACGCTGGGCATTGGGTATAGAGTCGGAAGATGACTGTCGGAATGGTCGAGATGAACCGGTTGCTGTCGCGGAAGGCTTTCTTTTCTTCCCCCTCGTCCGGCTAGCGCTTTGGTCTGAGTCGCACTGGAGCCCCTCCATCGAGTCCACCAGCTCTCCCTGCCAGATCTCTGAGTTGTCTCCAACAAGTAAACGTATCGCTGGTTTGTCTGCGGTCTGTCCTGCAGCCTCAGCAGGCTCATCGTCTGGCTCCTCAATAGAATACGGTAGGACTACATCCGCATTCGCCTCATGTTTGTGAATGGTTGGTGAATTACCTTCCAAAGGAACTGTATCTGCTCCAGACGAGATTCCCGGATCGCCTTGCGTGTTGCATGGTTGAGATGTAAAAGCTCTTGATCCATCGTGAGGTTGAAACGTAGGGGGGCTTTCACTTTCAAGAATTTCCGTCATCCTGAGTCAGCCAAAGTCCAAAAGAGCGAATCTTGTATGGACGAAATCGCCCTTCTGAAGGTTAGCTGCTGCTCTGTAGAGCGTGACGCAAACCGCGCATGCGTTGCGAAACGGAAACGATAATAATTCAATAGCGAACAAAGTCACCCGATGACGTTTTTCCATTGATTTAGATGTATGAACATATGAGACAAATGAAATTTCACAACCACGGCTTCAACCGCTTGTTGTAACAGACAGAAATGGCCCAGATGAGAGGAATCATGTCGGATGGTACTATTCTGAGGGGCCCAGAGGAGAGATGGACCCGACGGGGGAGATCCCGAAGAAGCATCGAGAAGGGGAGAGTGAGATCACACTCGAATAACCTCCGCCGAACTCCACTCGAACCGGAGTGAAGGAGGCAGAACTGCAGCTTTGACTAAGTTCCCCCAAGTAAATTAACTAGATCACAGAATGTAAGAGAGAGCCTAAAAGAAGTGCCTGGCAGCTGCTCACCGCCGGGCCCATCATTGGCCCGCGGGACTCGCTTATTGGCTGCGACACAATAAGTCCACGTTTACCGCCATCCAAGACGGAACCACCAGCTGCCCAGAGTGACTGAGTCCAGACACTCCGAACTCCCCCCCGTCTTCCCCCCTTTGCCCATTATCTCCCGCCGTTGTTGTGGATGCGGTGGTCGCCTTTCTGACCTCTTTTAATACCTGAGTGCGGAGCTTGCTTCTCTATGGTGCGGCTCCGGCCAACCCTCCTTCATCATGCAGTCCTCCCCAAACATGCTCACCAAGGTCCGCTATCCCCTCCCCATTGCCAGCTCCCCCCTATCGCCGCGGAGCTGCTGCTGCTTTCACGAACAGGAACTAATCTTCATCCTACTTGATAGTTTGAATCCAAATCCTCCCGCGCAAAGGGAATTGCCTTCCATCCCAAGCGGTCAGTGGACAATTGTCCTGTTCAACGCGTCGCAAACGAGTTCGGCTGACCCTCGAACAGGCCATGGATCCTAGTATCCCTTCATTCATCCACCATCCAATTATGGGATTACCGCATGGGAACCCTCATTGATCGCTTCGAAGAACACGATGGCCCCGTTCGTGGCATTGACTTCCACCCGACACAGCCCCTCTTCGTCTCCGGAGGTGACGATTACAAGATCAAGGTCTGGAACTACCAGACCCGTCGTTGCATGTTCACACTGAATGGCCATCTGGACTACGTGCGGACGGTATTCTTCCACCATGAGCTGCCATGGATCCTTTCGTGTTCGGACGATCAGACTATCAGAATCTGGAACTGGCAGAACCGCTCCTTGAGTAAGTCGGAATCTGGCCACCTGTCCCGAGGGGTGCTGACAATGGCTTCACAGTCTGCACCATGACCGGCCACAACCACTATGTAATGTGCGCGCAGTTCCATCCTACCGAAGACCTCATCGCCTCCGCCTCTTTGGACCAGTCGGTTCGCATTTGGGATATTTCGGGTTTGCGGAAGAAGCACTCGGCCCCGACCTCCATGTCCTTCGAAGACCAGATGGCCCGCGCCAACCCCGCCCAGGCAGATATGTTCGGAAACACTGATGCGGTGGTGAAGTTCGTTCTGGAGGGTCACGACCGGGGTGTCAACTGGGTGTCTTTCCACCCAACCCTGCCCCTGATTGTCTCCGCGGGTGACGATCGTCTCATCAAGCTGTGGAGGATGAGTGGTACGTCAAGATACTTGTTATGGAGATATGGATCTCAGGCTGACACGGATGTATAGACACAAAGGCATGGGAGGTTGACACTTGCCGTGGACATTTCCAGAATGCCTCAGCTTGTCTGTTCCACCCACACCAGGACCTGATCCTTTCCGTAGGTGAAGACAAGACTATTCGGTGCTGGGATCTGAACAAGCGA